CCCTGCCTTTTTCATCAGCATCAGTCGTGGAGTGAGCAGCCTGTGCAGATTCTGTCCTGAAAAGATGCTCCTGCCAGTCTCAGCTTTTTAATCCATGTCTGTGCATGGTGTGCCTGCGTTTGTATGGTTACTCATACTTGGCCCATTTGCAAAGGTACATTTAGGACATTTCAGATGCATCCCTAAGAAATTGAGCATGATCCAGCCAAAGCAACTTAAAATAAAAGTCCCACTGATTTCAATGGGAGAAAGTAAAGCACATGCCCAGCTCTCCCACTGTGTAAATGGGATTTAAGCCTTGAAATGCGAAAGACCTTTTTTAGGATCTTATTCATCTAGGTACATTTTAGAAAAACAGCTGAACTTCCTCATCAATTGCAGACATCACAGGAAGATTCTTTCTGTTCACCTGTCTCTTCTTGCGTAACCAATTACCACTTTCAATGGCCCAACATAATAAAAATCAGCTGGATTACTCAAATGTAAGGAGTTGCTACTCTCTGTGGACAGAGCAGTCATATTGTTAACTAGAATGGAGCTCTCTGGCTGCCTTTAAGGCCCTCACTAGTTGCCAGTTTGTTCCCCAGCACTACTCAGAACTTCTGACAGTAAGAGCTGTTCGACAGTGGAATTTGCTGCCAAGGAGTGTGGTGGAGTCTCCTTCTTTGGAGGTCTTTAAGCAGAGGCTTGACAACCATATGTCAGGAGTGCTCTGATGGTGTTTCCTGCTTGGCAGGAGGTTGGACTCGATGGCCCTTGTGGTCTCTTCCAACTCTATGATTCTATGATTCTACTCAGAATGCTGCTTCTAACTTCAAGGTATAAAAATTAGATGATGGTCACCTGAAGTGGCAGCATTTTGTCCTGTCCTTTGGCCTGCTCAGCACATTCTTTCTGATGTGCCTGTTTAGTGTAAATGGTCTGGGACTAGGTTATATGAAGGTTGGCCCATTTCACTCCCAAGGACTTCCGGGGAGGAGAATGGCTGACTAGTTGTTGACGGTCGATGTGCTGCCAACTGAGATAATTATGCAGTGATTTATGATAGCCATTTATGATAGCCTTGTTATAAAGGCAGTGGAGATGCTACATGTTCTCATTCTTTATTCTCAATACATGATCTGTCTACATTCGGAAGGAGTTATGATTCCTAAAGTACATAGTGGACCAAATTTGGCTTCTGTCACCCACCCCACTGTGCCTGGTGACTTTCCAGTGAAGTGTCCAGCACTCATAGATTGCATTCTTTTTGTCTGGTATTACAAAATCTTCCTTCAGCTGGATTTTCATTCAACCTACATATCACAAAGTTCAGCTACTTGGAAGGAAAATGCTAATTTGGAGATTATCAGTCTTTCCTTGTAAATATTTGTTTCAACAAATTATGAGCTCAGAAATTCTATTCAGCTGGCAACATGTACAAGCAAAATTTGTTATAGACAAATTCTTAGGAAATTTTATGGATCCTTTCCTTATCATTCAATTCTGCAGTGATTTAGTAAATTACCGTATTTTTTGCTCTATAGGACGCACTTTTTCCCCCTCCAAAAATGAAGGGGAAATGTGTGTGCGTCCTATGGAGCGAATGCAGGCTCCTTGGCTTCAGCGATAGCAATGGGAAGCCTCCGAAGCACAGAGGGAGCGCTCCCTCCGCGCTCCGGAGGCTTCGCGTTGCTTTCGCTGAAGGCAGCTATCCGCAAGCCTTTGGAGCACAGCAGGAGTCCCCCCTGCGCTCTGAAGGCTTGTGGATAGCAGCCTGAAGCCTGAAGCCCGGGGAGCGCTGCGCCAACTCCCGCTGCGCTCCCCGGGCTTCAGGCAGCTATCCACGAGCCTTCGGAGTGATGTGGTTGGTGCCGAGTCCCAGAATGTATGCAATTTAAGCAGGTGCACCCCAAAGCTGACATCGGAGGACTGTAGAACTTCACTGCGTAAGCTGTTTCCTTAGCACAAGGACTCCTAAGATTGAATAGCAGGACGGATAAAGGAGCCTTCAAGGAGCTTCCTGGTAGTGCTCATTTTATTCCCAATAATTAATGCTTCAGGAGTAAGTACTGTATGTTATAAAGGCAGTGGAGATGCTACATGTTCTCATTCTTTATTCTCAATACATGATCTGTCAACATTCGGAAGGAGTTATGACTCCTAAAGTACATAGTGGACCAAATTTGGCTTCTGTCACCCACCCCACTGTGCCTGGTGACTTTCCAGTGAAGTGTCCAGCGCTCATAGATTGCATTCTTTTTGTCTGGTATTACAAAATCTTCCCAGCTGGATTTTCATCCAACCTACATATCACAAAGTTCAGCTACTTGGAAGGAAAATGCTAATTTGGAGATTAGCAGTCTTTCCTTGTAAATATTTGTTTCAACAGATTATGAGCTCAGAAATTCTATTCAGCTGGCAACAGGTACAAGCAAAATTTGTTATAGACAAATTCTTAGGAAATTGAATGGATCCCTTCCTTATCATTCTATTCTGCAGTGATTTAGTAAATTAAATATTTGCAATGTACAAAGATATTATCAGTGGAATTGAAACCAAGGATCTGCCAGGAAGAGCAAATTTAGAATCTTGGCTTTGCTCAGTGAGATATGATTTGATGTTTCCATTTTTTCCCATGCCGTGTGGACTGCACACAATATTCCAGGTGTGGCCTGACCAAGGCAGAATACAGTGCTTGTATTACATCCTTTGATCAGGACACTATACCTCTGTTGATGCAGCAGAGAATAGCATTCACTTTTTTTTGCTGTTGCATCATACTGTTGACTCATGTTCAGCTTGTGATCTACTAAGACCCCTAGATCCTTTTGACATGCACTACTTGCAAGCCATGTGTTTCCCATCATTTCTGCAGCTGCTTATTCTTTGCTAAGTGTAGAACCTGACACTTGTCCCCATTGAAATTCTGTTAAGGTACTTTTGAATCCTGTTTCTGTCTTCTATGACATTAGCTACCCCTCCCAGTTTCCCGTCTTCTGCAAATTTGATGAGCATCCCCTCAATTCTTTCATCCAAGTCATTTATAAAGATGTTGAACAACAACGGGCCCAGGGCAGAACCCTTGTGGCACCCCACTTGTCACTTTCTCACAGGATGATGAGGATGGGTTTGGTTAGTCAACCAGCTACAAATCTACCTAACAGTGACCTTGTTCAACACACATTTTATCAGCTTCTTCGCAAGAATATCATGGGGGACTTTGTCAAAAGTCTTGCTTAAATGAAGATATACTATATCCACAGCGTTCCCCTGATCCACCAAGCTTGTAACTCTATAAAAAAGGAAATGAGATTTGTCTGACATGACTTGTTTTTGAGAAAGCCATGCTGGCACCTAGTATCCTTTTTAAAGTGCTTATAGACAGACTGTTGAATTATCTGTGAGGAGGCAGCACCCGCCACCAGAAGATGCAGAGGGAAGACCACAAAGCCAAGCCCACTCCAAACAGCCGCCCCACAACCACCCCCAAGTACAAGTGACTGGCAGTGGCAGCTGGTGGACTCTGGACTTGGTAGAGGTGCCTGGCAGCCATAGAGGTGCCTGGCAGCATGGCTAAGCTTTTCTATTTTTATCCTTCTCCTCCTCCTCCTCCTTTGCAAAGATACTGTGGGCACTTAAGAATTGCAGGTTTACAAATAATTAGCACTTAACTAAACTGAAAAGTGCCTTACTTTGGTTTAGAAGGGGTCCCTGCTATCATAATTGCTTCTTCTCTGGGATTACACCCCCCCCCACTCTGGTTCTCCCCCTATTCTCCTCCTTTGCAAAGAAACAGTAGACTTTTAAACACTGCTCTTTTCTTAATGCCCTTCAAGCCACAATGACCGCATGTTGATCAGAAGTAAGGTCCACTTAATCTCATGCAGATTGCTTCCTTTTATGTGTGTGTACAGGATTGCAGCCCGAATTGGTCAATCTTAAAGTCAGTCTTTTCTGCAATGGTGACCTGCCTTTGGAGCTCTCAGTAGAGCTTTGCTTGGCACTAAGTCTACTGTCCTTTTGGTATCAGGTGAAAACCTTTGTGCTCTCCACACCTTTTCGATTTCCTTTTGCAAATTGGATTTTATCTTGTTACTCTGCTGCTGTGTCTTTTTTTCCTTACTGTTGCAAATTTTAAGATTGACCTTTGGTCAATTTTAAAGCTGCCAAGGGATGCGGGTGGCGCTGTGGTCTAAACCACAGAGCCTCTTGGGCTTGCCGATTGGAAGGTCAGCGGTTCAAATCCCCACGACGGGGTGAGCTCCCGTTGCTTGTTCCCAGCTCCTGCCAACCTAAAGTTCGAAAGCAAGTCAAAAAGTGCAAGTAGCTAAATAGGTAACGCTCCGGTGGGTGGGTAAACGGCATTTCCATGCGCTGCTCTGGTTTTGGTGTTCCATTGTACCAGAAGTAGCTTAGTCATACTGGGCACATGACCTGGAAAAACTGTCTGCCGACAAACGCCAGCTCACTTGGCCTGTAAAGCGAGATGAGAGCCGCAACCCCAGAGTTGTCTGTGACTGGACTTTACTGTCAGGGGTCCTTTATCTTTTTTTAAAGGTGCCACACAGGACTATTAACAAGCTCCCCCCCATTTCCCCCCCTGACCCTGGGGCCCATTAGCGCAACCAGGGCAGAGCCTTACCAAGGGAAATGCCAAGCAGTTTTTAAAAATCTTCTCATTGAAACTTCAGTGCCATGCTCTGTCCTGTCCCAGACATCTTCCTAATAAGAGAAGCTCACAGAGATATTTCTGTTAATCTCTTGTTCTCTGGCCTATCAACAGCCCATTGTCATTGCATTTAGCTTCAGAAACTGCTTTGAGGATTGAACAATTAAGCGATACACACCTTGTTATTTATTTATCACTACTACTACTATTTAAGAATAACCCAAGGCTATCTCTGGTATCTCAAATGCAGCAATGAAGCCACATTGTCAAACACAACCTTGCACACACTACTTGTGCAACTTTTTCTTGTAACTTAAGAACTGAAACAAATCAATTTCCCTCCTACCAAAACTGTGGAAAACAATTTATTTGAACAAATTTTCAAAGTGAACATCTGTCAGTAAATCACAGGAATAAAATAAAATGAAGTGGTAAAATGAATATTGGTGAAAAGACAATAAAAGGCGCAGTGTTAAAAACAATTTCCTGTTTTGAAAAGAAAGGACACTGAAATCATAGCAAGAGCACCATTGGAAACACTGGATGAAATCTGTCCCAACCAGTTCCTGAATTCAATGTCTCTTTAATGAGTTGATGTGTAAACATAGGAACAATGTAAAACCTCAGGCTTTGAGGCATGGCAGGGGTAGCACCGACATGGACTTCATGTTGGCTGGAGATGGCCCTCCAAAGCCAAAAGGCCCAAACTCATGGCATAGGCTTTTGGGTTTTGTTTAAACTGGAATATCACTTTTGCAAATCTCAGCGCTCACCCACAATTTCTCCTGCTTGTCCCATAATTTCTAGGTACAGCTCCAAGTGGTTCTCCTTTTGTCCCGCCGCTTCCCTGTGGAAACCTGCTGCTTACTGCTGAATCGGAACAAACATAAATCTTCAGAAAGCCCAATTCATGTTTGTTCTGATTCAGCAGTAAACTGGGGGTTTTCCCAGGGACGAAAGAAAAACCTCTCGGACCCGTGCCTAGAAATCACAGGACAAGCAGCAATGTGAATGAGCCCGCAATATCATGTATGAACAACATCAGCTTCCTTCATCCCGCCCTCTAGTTTGGGTAGATACTCTTGGGTTGAATCCTTCTGTCAAAGTAACCTACTTTGAACTTGATTGTATGACTCAAGTTACAAATTTAGCACTTTCCATAGTTGTCGTGGAAAGCAGTGACTATACCATGAAATGAACCTTATATTTCTGAAGACAATGTAATCTTTCAGGAGCTAAGTAGCCGAAACAGTAATTGTTACACAACATGTTTCTTGACATAAAAATAAAAGAGCAGACAAATTTAACAAATTAGTTTGGCAATGAAATATAGGGGATCCTTTTATTTTGAGAAAGAGGACCCTAATATTCATGTGAAATGTGCTATCAACCTTAGAAATAAGGTTAGTGCATTTAAGGTTCTTTATGAACCCGGCTTACCTTCATCAAATATGGTACAAAAATAGTCATTTCAGTTACAGTTAAGAGAGATATCAAGTAGGGGGAAAATAAACCATCCTATGCTTTTCCCTGCAGGCTGGAAGAATTCATGTACAACAAAGAAAACAGAGCTCAAAAGTAAGGACATGGGTGGGCTATGGCTTTGTATAAAAAACATGGATCCAGCTGGCTGCTAACATTTTATTTCTGAACACTTAGAATCTATATATTTTGCTCTTCCACTCCCACCTCCTCAGTCTACAGCTATTTTCCTGGAGACAGTTTGATAGAACACTCCCCTCAGCAGAGACTGGTAATCCGGCACTCTAAAAAGGTGCCTCTCTCCATAGGCCACATCGTACTCTGCCGCTTTCCCAGTGACCAGAACACGCACATTGGGCTCATTGGCTTGAGTGCCAACCACTAGTACATAGATTTCAAGTTCTGCCCGTCGAGCCTCTTGAACTGCCGTCTCAATGGCACTGCTGGTGATGCCTTGAGAGTTGCCATCGGAGAAAATCAGAACTCTCTTCTTAGCTCCAGCACGGGCGGACTGCCGGTAGAGACTAGTGACAAAGCGGAGGGCTGCGTTCACATCCGTGGCGTCATTCATGAATTCCATGCTGTCAATAGCATTAGCAACCACCGTGTAGTTCTGCTCAAACCGCGCCTCTGCTTTCTGCTGGCCTTTGCCGCTGTACTGGACGACAGAAATGCGCACGGCATCCTCCGAAGGCTTGGCTGCTGTCAGGAATCGTTCTGCAAGGCGCTTCACAAACGTCTTGGTGGTGTTGAAGTTGCGGCTCCCAACGCTGGTGGAGCTATCCACAAGGAGTGTGATATCAGCTGGGCCAGCAAAAGAGACTGGAAAGAGAGGAGATAGGGGCTAAGGACACTGCTGTAAATCTTTCAGATTTGGGTATGTGTGCTGTGGTCAATACCAGCATAAAAAGGCAGGGCATAGGGATTGCTCTGTTGGTATGCAAGGCATAGAGGTGTTAATCTCAGAACTAAGTTTTCTGGAAACTAAGTAGTACATTTTCGGATGCAAAAGGAAACTGGACATCCCAAGAGGTACTGGTTGATTCTGAGCCAGACTCCTTTTGTGCCCCCTTTCTAGGCATAGCTCGGGGCTTTCCAGGCCTGTGTCCAAGTAGGGTTCTTTTTGTCCTGGCATTTCCCTTCCCCTGGGAAAACCCACATTCTACGGCTGAATCAGAGCAAGCAGCAATCGGGTTTGCTCCATTTCAGCGGGAAATGCAGGTTTCTGGTGGCCCTAGTGTGCAATGGCACAGAATAGTTGAAACACAGAGCTTGTTTCAAATTATGGTGCTCCTCAGGTGAATGGTCAGTGTCCAGAGGAAATGGAGTAAGCTAAATAGCAGTCGCTAAGGCAACTTCAAGATTATGTGGAGCACAGAAATTCTCAACTCATACACACAACTTTGTAAAAAGAGTACTCACTTGGGCAGGTGTAGTCCGGGCATTTCTTTTCTATAAAACAAACGAAACAACGTCACACTAAACCCTTCTCTTCATTTACAATCAATGTTCAACACCAAAAGTCCACTCCCCCTGCTTGGTGGGCACTGTTGCAGGCTGGCACTCCCCACGCCCTCCATAATCTGGGGAGAAAGGCCCCTTGGGGCTGCTTCCTGGGCAGGAAAGGAGGTCCTGGGCCAAGCTTGCTGCCAGGAAGCAGATCTTGCCTGCTCACTCAACTGGCCAATCAAAAGGGTGCAAGGGGGTGGGCCATTCCTTGGGGGGTGGGGTGTCAGTCCACTTCTTGGGCATATAAGGAAGGCCCGCGGCTTCTCTTGGCAGCCACTTTGCTGGATTTCCCACGCCCTCCCTATTTGGCTGACATGTGCTGCACTGATTGACCTTGCAATGGCTTTGTCGGTAGCCGTATTTGGGACCAGGTTGGAATTTTCCCACTTGGCAAAGGGGCTCCAGCCCTCTGGCTTTGGCCACCCTCACAGCAGTCATCACAAGTATGCTGGACCCACCCATGGCTGTTTCCCTTCTGCATTCACCTGACAAATGACCTTGGTAGAGATGGCAGATATGGATTCCACAGGGCCACTTCATCTCTTCAAATTGTGTGGGTCACTGAAGTAGTACTAGCAGAATGTACTGTTAAATAAACTCTGGCATCTAAGACAAACTTAGGCTTATGTTGTCATTTCTCCACTCGTCAGCTGTTTTGTGGCATTCATTGTGTTGAGAAGCTGGATCAACCACCTCCTTCAATACCAGCTCATAATTAGGCTCTCAGCAACCAAACATGTGTCACCTACCTTTGCAGATCTGCGAGGTAACATTCTGCAGGAAATTGTCATCCAGCAGCAAAGCAAAGTTTTCTTGATAAACAGAGATGCCCCCACAGGAAATAGTTGATAATTGCTCAGTGTTTGCTGGTTTGTTGGAAATATCACCGATACCCAGGGGAACCACCTAGAAGTTGACAGGTATGTGTAAGGCTTATACTCAACGATTCCACATTAGTTAGTCCTCAGGTGCCCCAAGTGGGGATCAAGGGGGATAAAATGAAATAACAAGAATAATATAGGGAATATATTGGTCAGGGGGAAGACAGAATTCTTCTTTACTGGATAATCCAGTGTTAATCGAGACACAGTTATATTTCATTAACATTGGGGCAAGTAAAGGGAAACTATCCTGTTGCTGAAGAACAGAGATCATGCTGCCAAGTTTTCTTTTGATATTTCCCAGCCCTGCTTGCCTTGGTAAATATCACACAAAACCCATTCATAAGCTTATTTAGGATCCTTCCGAGTCTGCTTTGTTAGAACTTTCTTATACCTCCCACTGGTCTTTTAAAGCGCTAAGAATTACCAATGAGTATCAACATTCACTGAATTTCTGACATTCACATTAGCCCTTGAATTGTGATCACTGCAGGAACTCTTCAGTAAAAGACATAAATTTCAGTCTGGAGTTGCCCTTCGCTACACAGCCGTCTCAGGGCTCCTTCACACTCCCCTTGTCCCATGCCTAGAAAGCAAGGGCTCTGAAGGGTTTCCTGCTTGTCCTGTGTTTTCTAGGCATGGGTCTCACCAGTTTTCCATTTCTCCAGGGAAACCAGCTCTTTACCACTGAATTGGAGCAAACTTCAATTTGCCAAAAACTTGATAAAGAGCAGGTTTTCCTGGGCGAAAGTGACAGGATGAGTGGAATTGTGAAGAAGCCCTTAGGCAGCTTGTGCTCCACTGCCCACACAAGTGCTGGTTTCCTCCTGGCTTAACCAAAGTCACTGACCCAAACTTTTCTCAATAGGAAGACACACCTTGACCCAATAAGGCTTTCCTATCCCTCCTCCTGCCCTCCATATAATATTGATTTCACCTGGGTCTTGCTTTCACAGAGCACGTTGAGTGGTGTTTGGTCCCGAAGTACATCGGACCGTCCGTCTGTGATGACTATGACCACTCTTTTCTCAGAGGGAAAGCGCCGCAGCAAGTTATCCTTGGTGAACTGAAGGGCCTCCCCAGTATATGTGCCACCAGCAATCCAGTGCAGGTTCTTCACAGCTCTGCAAAGCAAGCAGCATTGAGTTTCAGTGCCAGCTCCTCTTCTGACAGAGAAATCTAGACCTGTCTCCCAGCTCTTTCCTTATTCTTGGTTTGTCTCCCCTGTTAAGTCTGGTTCACTTGCTTTTCCTTCCAGATAATCTAAAGCACTTGCCATGAACAAACCTAAAATGTTTTTGTGGTAGCAATGTGAGAACGTGATGTAATCTTACTAATTTGCATAGGAAGTACAAAATTATATTCTGAGGAAGTTCTCATGTACTCTCAATTGGCAATGTATCAGTCAATCATTGTACCCCAAAACAAGGTAATCAATTGATTTATTGGTTTGGTGTTGTCGTTGTTTAGTTGTTTAGTCATGTCCGACTCTTTGTGACCCCATGGACCAGAGCACACCAGGCATTCCTGTCTTCCACTGCAGCAAACTCATGTTTGTAGCTTCGAGAACACTGTCCAACCATCTTGTCCTCTGTCGTCCCCTTCTCCTTGTGCCCTCAATCTTTCCCAACATCAGGGTCTTTTCCAGGGAGTCTTCTCCTCTCATGAGGTGGCCAAAGTATTGGAGCCTCAGCTCCAGTGAGCTCCTTCCAGTGAGCAGCTTTATTGGTTGGTTATCTTCAAAGATATCTTCATGGCAGAGCAGAGCTTTCCAAACTTTTTATGTTGGTGACACACTTTTTAGACATGCATCATATTACAACACAGTAATTCAGTTTTCCTAGCAAACCGGAGGCTAAACCACCCCCTTTCCTGTCCTGGGAGGAGAGCGGGGAGTGTTTGCACGACACACCTACACACTGCAGCAGACACACTAACGTGTTGCAACGCACAGTTTGGAAAGCTCTGTGGTAGAGAGTTAATTTGAACAGCATGTCTGTAGATTAGAAATCGGAGGAGGTGGGGAGTACTTTTTAAATTCTCAATTTTTGCAGCAAAACTCCATTCAGCTAGTGATTTCTTGGCACCTCTCAAATGGAGGCAAAATCAACATATTACTATGGGAGCATAGAGGTGGCTGGGGTGTTCCTATTCAGTGCTGCAAGGCGATAATAAATAGTAAGCAAAATCCTAATAATACAGAGATTTATGTGTGCTTTGTATAACAAAGATACCTGACTTGACAGGGAAATTCAAGGTAAAGAGGGATGGGAGGTGTTGGATGTGTTGAAGGCAGGTGATCTCTTTGCGAAAACACCCAGATCAGCCTTAAGATTCTTAGAAGAACCTTCCAATCAGATAATTTCCCAGAAGAAGGAAGCATCTTTGTCCCAATGCATTAAGCATCAAGTGGCAATTCTGTTTACCCATCATTTTGCTAATGTGCCCTAGAATTCCATTTGGCATATCTGTGGCAGAAGACATGTTGGTCTGTCTCTTATCATGTAATGATCAGGATGATCTACTACAATGGCCATTTCCCCTCAGTTTTAGAGTCACTGATACATTGCTCCCAAATACAGTCCTTTAGTGTTTCTTCCTATCCGAATGCAAGGCAGACATTTACTTGACAAAGTAACTTGAGTGCAATTTAGTTACGTCTTTAGGATGAGAGCTAAACCTGGCCATGCCTCAGGGGCTGTAGTGCCACAATTATTGCTTGTGCAATGAAACCCAGGGTAGTGGCTCATATTGAGTGTGCTTAGGGCTAAGCATTCCTGCAATAAGTATTCAGATACCTGGAAAACATCCCACAGAGGTGCCACATATAAAACTGAGCACAATAACCCCTCTCTAACTCCCAATTATCTGATCTAAACTTACTCCTTAAAGGCTCCAATGTTATCAATGTTGCTATCTCCCAAGGCCACCAGTTCCTGGGTGTTGTCATGGCTGTACTGAACCACACCAACGTTGGTCTCCCCTGGTCTAAACTGTTAAGAGAAAAGTTAAACATCAAATGATGTTTTTCAGTCCATGTATTATCATAAACAAAGACACCAAGAACGGTTTATAACATCTAGGAACTGTAACGGCAGCATCCTCTTCTCTGGGTAAGGTTCTGGAGGTAGTTGATTTTGACAATGCTAGGAAACTTGAAAGTATCTCAGTTGCTTTATGATAACATGCATTAAAGATATATTGCTGGGGGGGTATATGTGATTGTTTGCAAGTCTTACCGTCACTTTTTCATCCTTGATAAGCCTGTCAATGACCTTGACAATGAAATCCTTAGCAATCTGGAAGTTCTGCAGGCCAATGCTCTCTGAACTGTCCAGCACAAACAGAACATCGCCAGGAAGACACTTGCATTCTGTAACACAGCACAGAACCACACAATAGAAGCATTCGTGGAAGTATGAAGGCTTTCTTTCAGATGCTGAACAACCCAAGGGAACCAACTACAACAGCAGTAACAGTAAAAGCTATACTTCTTGCCAAATGCTAAGTTTAGCTTAGAATCCAAACTATGGTTTGCACTGCTAACATTACAGGCAAACCATTGTTTAGAGATGCTGACATTATTATTTTCCTTGCTCAACACTCCAGTGTCTGGATAAATCTGAAGGCAGAGAAGCAGCGGTAACTATGATTTGACCAGTCATGCCAAATCATAGTTAGTATAACCACAGTTTGCAAATCTACCTCAAATATTGGTTTTTGTTTCTGATTTGCCAGTTGCAAACCACTGTTAGTTAATTTAGATATTAAACCACACTGTAAGCTTCTTTAACCATGATTTGTGTGATGACATAATTTAGAGTATGTTTACATGGTTTTTTTTTACACAGAATCCCTATTACAATGTGAGGGAACATGTAAACTCACACTAAATCAGAGCTTCATCTTCATCCTCTCAGAATGTCATATTTTGTTATAAAATACATTTAAGTAAATGCCCTTAGGACTGCAACTCAAGTCTGATGAAGTAGCAGTTTGATAGGAAAATAATAATTGCCCTAATTCCTTTATACACCCAGATGTAATTCAAGAGAACTTATTTAACTTTCAGTGGTTCTGTTTGGGCCACCTGAACAGATATAAGTGCATCATAGGAACATCCTTGCAAAGGCTAAGGCAACGAAAGAAAGGATGATTCTGAGTTATTTACTCACTTATTGAAAGGGCTGCATCTCTGAGACACCAGCAAGGTTGTGTAGATGATGTGGGCATTTTTTATGTGATGGCCAATGTTGTGGAAGCACAATAACTTAAGATTGTAGCAGTAAACAGCTATACAGAAGGCCATAAAATGGAGACAGTGACAAGGGGTCTTACAGGAGCATTTGAAGAGTAAGCTTCCTCCATCTGAATCTTGTGACAATTGTTTAAATGAAAATGCAATAATGTTGTTAAAGAAACTGCAAAAATGACACTCACCGCAGCAAGCTAGGAGAGAGGAAGAAAACAAACAAATATGCTGAGAATCGACTTCAAACTCACTGTGAATCTAAAGAGCACTGAAATTAAATATCAATATGAGGATGTTGAAAACTTTCTCCCTGATACTAGGTCAACTTTAAGATGATTTTCATATCCCAGATGTTTTCTTTTTCAAATCCAGCATATGCTACTTAGCAAAAAGTAAAGAGGGAAGTATAATAAAAATGCTGAAGGACATTTCAGCGGGAACACATATTTTGGGATTGTTTGACATCCCTGACTGCAATTAATAATGAAATCACATTTAGTGTTTAATAACTCTGGAAAATAACCACAGAGTTTGTTAAGCAGCAAATGTAATGTGATGTAAACAACAAATGTAACAAGGATGAAGATAAGGTATACAGGAAATCCTAATTCCCAGTGCAACAGAGTTGCTCAACTAGTTAAAACTGGGACTGCAGACAGCGTGCACGGGGGAGGCCTTTCCCAAACATTGTAAATAATCTCTCTTATCATTTATTTGCGGTTTTTGGAATGTAGGAAATAATTTGCTTGGATGATATTCAATAGTAGATGCAAACGTTTAATACCTTCAAAATATAAATAAAGGATGAAAACAAATTAAGAGCCTTAGCCTGTGAACTTCTTTGCCAAAACAGGCAGCACACAGAATCAGGTTTCAATTTCCCTTTCTCTTGGGTTCACACCAGAAATACAGTACTTAATGGAGGAGAAGTCCCCTCCAAGCTTGAGTCACGCTACCCACTTAAAAAAATTGAATTAGAGGAAGATAGGACACAAGGCTTGTTACTGGTCCAAAAAACCAATAGACTGGCCCTTGGGACCTGATGGGGGGGGGAATTGATAATGGGCCCTTGCTGCATGATAGATCCAACTGGTTTTCAGATGACTCTGGGCAAGGACTTCTGTTGACTAGAGCCAAGCTGGCTCCCTGGTTCTGTAACATTGAGCCTGAATCCATTTAGAAACACGAAGACTTGGATCCCAGAATCAATGTGATGGTGTGAAGCTTGGTTAAAGTCAGCAACCTATTGTTTCTTATTCTGACTTGGTCACTGGTAATGATACAGCTGCTAATTCTGCAACAGTAGGAGTCAGAATACTTACAGCACATTTTCATGATGATATCCAAAATTTCACATTCCTGGAATCAAACGAAGAAACATTGGTGTCATCCAGGTCTTGGAAATTAAGAATCATTCTGCATCCCCCTTTAGATGGGTCCTTCATTGCAGTTATAGCCCAAGAAAATAGCCCTGTCACATTTAGCAATCAAGTCACCGGGCAGTATGTGAAGCATTAGATGTTTTTCTGAGAGGGCGGGCTGCATTTGTGGAGCATTATCTAATAAGCAGGAAGCAAAGAAGGTAGTTTCCATTGGTGGAAACAACACTGTCACTTTAGTCTTGATTTCAGGCTAAAGTAATGAATTCTAGTTAATATTGTGAATGGGTGCTTATTCCTTACTTCCTTGGAAAGATGGCCATTTGATCTGCCAGTCTGAAGTTGTCCCCTCTTAGCTGACTACAGTACTGTACAAACAAAGTTAGTCTATGGGTTGTGGGAGCCCCCCCCCCCAATGAGCGTATAAATCTCAGAACTGGCATAAGGAACAAGGAGGGGGCAAAGGCTGTATCTGGGGTGTCTACCAGTGAAAGAAAATGAAAGGCTGTAAGGAAGGTCCAGAACAAGTCACCTCTGTTTTCTTCACTTTAAAGTCAGATCGTCAAAAGGAAAGACAGATAGCTAGAAATACTACTGAAAGCTAAGAAGGGAAAGTCACTGACTCAGGGACTGAGCTTTGTTAGGACAAGCCAGAGTGCATCTCTACTCTGTTTTGCTTTGCTGAACACTTCCCTCCACAATCACCCAACCCTTCACTAAGAGAAGGACCCAAGTGTCATGTAAGGCCGGTTTTACTCACATCTGGTCCTGGAGGGCCTCTGGGTCCTGCAGGTCCCTGGAAAACAACACATTGTACAAGTGCCAAGAGAATACTTAGTTGCATCAGACAAATTCCAGAGAGAAAGCTATGTCAGACAGTTGTTACAAAAATGGCAGAGTCCTGTGGTGCCTTAGAGAGTGATGAGATGAGCTCGAATCCCAGAACAAATGGTGCAAGTTGCTACCGCAGAGATCCCCCAACACAGACACAGAAATAAACCGGCAACACCCCTCAAAAACAGGAAACCCTCCTAACCAAACACCCCTTACCAAAAATTAAAACCAAGGGACCCCCACTGTAGTTCTTTTAATTACTCATAATAATTACTCATAATTTTTTAAGTTATACACCTCCCCACTTGTACTCATAGTCATCTGGCTATGAGGATTAGAATCTCTGCCAATGAAAATGCCTTTGAATGTTGTGGTTGATATTTCTTCTTCTTGAGAGTTGTGACGATATTCTTGTTGCTATCCTCGTAAGAGCACCAGGCATTGGCTCAGGTGCAATTTGTTACCTAAGGCATTTTGATAAAAGACTATTAGCTAGTCAGTTATTGTATATAGTAATATATCCCAAGTAGCTCCCCAAAGGCCTGTTCCTTCATAATCCATAGTTAGTGGGGACTTTATTACTCACTGGGGGCCCTTCTGGTCCTCTGTAACCTTTGGCTCCTTTCATGCCTCGGGTCCCAGTTGCATTGCTCTGGAAGAAAAAGACACCCGTTTCCTAAGGGGAAGCTTACACTCTTTTCTGTGTTAAAGAAGACATTCAAGTTAGAGAAGGACTTCTGGGCTGCCTTTGCTCAACTTTCTTACTATGATAACTGAGCAATCAAACTGGTCGATTAGCATCTGTGAGATCACTTCCTATCTAAGGAGTGGGTTGCATGTCACTTTCCCCCCAGGTAAGGAAGGTGAAAGAGCCACAACACAGCACTCTCAGGAGAACCTGCAACATGTGAACAGATGAGAAATATCTTACCTGAATGCAGATGACATCTATACATTTATAGTAATTCACACATATTTTGAAAAGATAAATCACTCCACCGTCACCCATGATAAAAAGCCTGAAAATTGGTCCTATAATGTTTTTATCACTTCCTTTGGAACTCTAGTCCATACCTTGTGGCAGTGAGTTCCATAAGTTATTTATTCACTGTATGAAATGGTGCTGCCTTTTATGTACAGGCAACAACTGATTTAGGCATGTCTGAATGACATGCAATCACGATCCTGTGCACAGCACAGAAGTTAGCCCCAAAAGGTCATAAAGACAGCATGGAAAGGGGCGGAATGGGGCAGGGGTGGAACAGGACAGAGCAGGCTTACATGTGCTCTACCGACTCATGCAGGGTTTCAGAATGGAACCCCCATGCAAAACGAAGATTAATTGAGTGATCCCGAGTTCTAATGTTATGAAAGTGGGAGAAGAGTCTCCTTTTTAAAAAAATAATAATATTTATTAGTTTTCCAGCAAATTGAACACAACACTACAAAATACCAAAAAAGAAAAAACATACAATAATACAATACGATACAAAAAAACAAAAACCACTGCAAAACACTAACATACAACTAACAAAACAAAACAAAAACCGTTTAAAACACAGTCAATTTCAATATTTTATCTTTCTTTCACTAATTTCCATGACCTCCTCACACCTCCCTTTTTGTATTCCACTTCTATTAATTGAATCAGCAATTCCTTTCCACCTTCCTCTGTTTTCTATCCTATAATTGTCTTAACACATTCTAACCTTATTTTCCCCTTTATCTCCTTTATCCACTCACTCCCTACTGCTCATAAGTTTATAAACTTCTATCATTTCCTCCTTCGTCATATTTTTTTCTAAATTCAAATCCCCCAAACAAGTGCTCCAATCTTTGGTAGTTAAATTCACTGTACCTGCCCATCACACACCACCTCTGTCATGAGCCTGTCTGTCTGCTGAGATCATCATCTGAAGCCTTGCTCCTAATGGATATTCAAGCCTTCAAATGTTAGGTCTTTTCTGTGTTGGCCCTTCAACTGGCCTTTCCCAGGAACATTTGCCTGGTACCACCATGGCTATCTTTGAAGCACTAGACTAAGATGGTCCTGATCACTCAAGTCTTTGATAGAAAATAATGTATATTTGATTATTATTTCAACTGGTGTTTATTAATGTTCTTTCTTCTATCTTGGGTTTTAGGTTGTTTGAGTTTAAGCTGGTTTTAATGTGCATTTTTATATTGTTTAGAATGAATTGTACACTATATTGACATAAATTCTTCAACAAATAAATAACAATTAATGTCTCTCAGAAATGTAAACTGCAAACCTAAATGCATTTAGGTGGAAGGAATCCCCATTTGTTTCCACAGCACGTACTTGAATCAAGAATGTTTCATCTGTAGGTAATTGCATATTTCTAATTCTAGCTGTTGTCTCAGATGGCGAACTCAGCTAAAGTTGGCCAAAGTGTGTTTTCTCTTTTCTGTGTCATCACTTATTTCAATTAGTTTTTTTCAAAGACTTGGTAAATAGGAGTTATTTTGTTGTGTCTAAAAGGAAACAGAAATTTTCTTCTCCTGTTCTGCCTGTCTTCCATGACCAAGGCAACTCAATTCTTTCCAAATACACACTCTCACTTCCCTATCTGTCCAGACAAGTTTTCTACTACTCCCTCCACATATTTTTGAATAGTATAATGGATGGGTGTTAAAGTATTGAATAATATTGCTGAATACTTTATCATATATTTCAAATAAAGATGTAGGGTGGGAAATAAAACTCATGGATTATATTGCACAAGGGAATAATCTATCCCGTTCTTTTACTTACTTCCAGCCCTGGGTCTCCGATCTCTCCTTCATCGCCTTTGGGACCAGGATAGCCTTTGGTACCCTGAAAAGGGAAGATATAAGGCCATTGGGCAGAAGTATACAAACCACGTGGCACTCAGCTCCTGCAGTTAACCATGGAAAAAGGCATTGTCCATAGACACAGTGCTCTCTGCTTCTTGTCAACATGCTTGATTGCAGGCAAGAGATCACCAGAAGGCGTTCAGATACATTCCATCTGTTGGACCTAGACCTTTTCTTACCAAGCTACATTCAGAGCAATCATCTGCCTCCCCTGCACTGCAAGGCAATTCTGGGTAGAATGTGGGAAAAACCTCTCATATGCTTATTAGAAACATTAGGCAAACAGTTATTAGTGTACTGTTTACAATTTGCAATAAGATGCTTAGCCAAGGAAAGGCTTTTCAGCACAAAGGGCAAGCTCTCTCAAATTTGCTTTGGATTAAATTGGGAACAGCAGAATTTCTTGTGGTGAAAATATGAACACAATTCATATTATCCTTCTATATTGATTAGCAGAGCACTGGGGCACAAAGCGCCAGGGACCATGGGATATGTAGTCCTCCTGAGAGCAACAGTTCCCACTTGTGGGAAGGGAACAGGGCACAGTGTTGGGAATGGACTGCTGGCAGTGGCAAGAAAGGGCTGGTAGTGACATAGGATGGCAGCCAGCAATATTTTGATCTGAGTCAGAGAAGAAATTTATGAAAAGTTCTTGTAGCCTAAACTTGGAGAAGTCTGCTTACATCCTGCTTTCCAGTTAAGTTGCTTTTACCAATAGACTGGTACAATAATTCACAATCACACTTTTCTCTCCAGATAATGGTGTTACCTGAAAATCTCCCAAAGATCTTGTTTATCTTTTCAAAAAACTACAAGTATCAGCTCTAAAGCTGTTCCACATTACTGTTCTGTATATTACTGTACTGTATATTAACAAATATACCAGCATATGATTTCAATGCTTGATACTTTCAACCTGTGTGTGCAGGGACTGGGGAGGAGATATGGCATGCCTGAGTACCAAGAGTAAAGAAAGGAGAGACTGAGACTTACATTAGCCCCAGGATCACCTCTGTTGCCAGGATATCCCTTAGGAAGAGAAGGAAAATAGGAAGTTAAATAAAAAAAGAATGCAAGTGGTAATAAGCTTTGTCTGAATTCTTTCTTAAACTTTGGCCTTCTGGAGTGAAACTCACCGGGAAACCGGGGAAACCATCGGTGCCATTTCCTGCTCGGCCATCTTCTCCCTAAGAGGAAGTTCCAAAACCAAGAGGAGACGTCAAAGTTTAGTTTATGAACCTTGTATGTCCTTAGCCTATTAAGCTGGCAGACTCTCTGAGATCAACTCATTGTTAGCCACTAGAGAACTTTATGTTACAGGCAGTGCTTTTTCCCTCCCTAGAAAAAAGGGTGCTGGTTCCCACCTGAATGCCATTGTGGCCATGGCTAGAAAGAGTGGGATGAAGGGAGGGTGGCTGGCAAGAGAAACAGAGGCTGAGGGGGGGGGACCCAAGAGGAAAGAGGTGGGGCTGACGGTTGTTCTGGAGCCCGTGACTGGCGACTGGACACAGCAGCCCTGGTTTCTCGCAGGTTCGCGAGTGAGGCAGTAATGAGAACGGGGCTGGGGAGCCCCTGCTTCCCTTTTTCTCCTCAGCAGCGCTGCATCTGGCAGGTGGGCGAGGGAGTGAAAGGGACATGGAGGGAGCCTGAGGGAGAAGTAAGCGAAGCACAGCCCTCTCAGATGGGGATGGATTTCTCCTCCCCTCCCCCCATTTTCTCCTCAGACACTCCAGTGAGTACCTGGTTTGCTCTGTTCCCCTCTCCCCCTGGCCACCATTTGCTTCTCAGTTCTGGCGAAGTTGCTTCCCAAGGAGCTGGGAGGAAGAGGACTGCGCAGAGTCCTCCTGGTCCAGCTCGCTGGTCTCCTCTCACGTTTTGCACGCTTCCTTTAGGACACTCACCCTGTCACCCATCAAGCCAGTTTCTCCAGGTAATCCAGGTGGGCCAGGCAGTCCTTTAGGACCCTATAAAGCACATAGGGGAAAGCATCTAAGTCATTGCCATACGGACAGCACTTGTTGAGACACAAACATCATCCTCTGGTGCCTTAAATACTAAATAAATACATAGTTTGCCTTTAACGTTCTATAGGACTCTATGGGCTTTCCAGATGGGGCTGTCTCTGCAAATGGGTTGCTAAGATACTGCAAATGGCAACTTTTTTTATTTTACTGATCAAATTCCCATTGGAAAGGATCTTTACAAAGGGCAGTTTGAAAGCCCTTTGAAAGCCCTTGAAGTGGTTCACTTTGAAGTCCTAACTATTGGGGCTGGGAGGGGGTTGGGCAGGGGTGTAACTGGGGCTTGGCCAGAGGAGCAAGCAGGGGCAGAAGCCCTACTAGATTCCATGTCTTCTAAGTAGCCTTTGATGTATAACTCTGTATGTCATGAAAACACACGATGCTCTCTGACTTCTGCAGCATAGCATTCTGCAACATTGCTGTCTATGAAGTGTGTGGCCTTTTAAGCTCTTAAGGCAAGGAACAGATCCCCTAATCATGGGCATTAGAATATACTAACCTCCGGTCCAGAAGGGCCTTCATCTCCTCTGTACCCTTTCGGACCAGCTGGGCCTGCTTCACCCTAGAAAAATGGGAGGACATCTCAACGGCTTCACCCTTCAAAATATGTGGTCAGCATAAAGTTGTGCAAAAAGCAAAAGCCTCAGCTCCAAACTCCCTCAATGACCTCCTGGTGAATCCCTTTGGCATATCGGCTATATGATTTCATGATGGATTGGCAGAACTGAAATGTGAATGACTTGACATACATCACGGGCCAATCTGGATCTAACAGTTCCGAGTTGCACTCAGATGCAATATAAGAGAGCAAGTCCAATTGGACACACTTCTGAATAGCCATGCATAGGATTGGGCTACTGATGCTTTATTCACAGGCTGACCTGTGTAACCTGAATGCATTTGTTTGTTTGTTTACTCACTCACTTTATATTCCACCTTCCTCCCAAAGGAGCCCAGGGCAGTAATGCTGAACCATTTTCTAAATCAACGTGCACAAGAATAACTAATATGAAGCAACTGGAAAATGTCACACAGTCCGATTTGTTTGTGTCATAGAATGGGGTTAGAAGGCATGGACAGCATGAGACAGCATTTCCTGGCAGAAGGTGTAAGAATTTGACTTTTCTCTCCCCCTCGAAAAGAACAGCCAAAGCTGTCATAGGAACTAAATGAAAGGCAACATCTGTCTTTGGGAGGGGAAAATGAGCGTAGGGTACATATTGTTAACAAATGTGCCCTGGAAGGGAATAAGGACCATTTTTTTATTTGGAGGTGGGTGCTGGAATTAAGCAGTGTCAACATTCCTGTGCTGTAGACTGAAGAACTAGAAATTCACTGTGACTGAACAAAAGCAAAGCGCTAGTAGGATCATGGAATTGTAGGGCTGGAAGACTTCAAAGGTTACCCCGTCCAGCCTCCACTCTGGTTTTGCCAGGAAAGAGGAGGGAACAAGACAGAATCAGTTGGTCTATTCCCCAACCTCTGCATTTCCCCAAAACTTCTTTCCTGAAAGGCGGGCTTCAGATTTTTATGATGTTCACATCAGTTCAAATGATGATTTATTTGTCCTTTTAGTCACAAACTCAAGTGCCTACATCACCTTGTCCATGTATGTATCTTAAACATCTTAAAATGTACGTATCTTACTATGGTCAGATCAAATAATTGTGGCGTAACATCCCTTGGGTAGCTGTGCAGCTGCCTCCCCCCATTTTGAAGAACACATCTACACCAACTTCTGAGCTGCTTTCTGTGCTGCACAGTGCAGGCAGACAGCTCCTGCACCAACCAGTGTGAGCCGACGGATTTGGGGAAGGCTCTCATCTCCAGGGTGGAACTTATGCCAGCTTTTCTTCTAGCAGCTTTTCTTCTGGCAGGCTGTTTTTAATTATTCCTTCTGACAGAGGACACCTGCATTTAATTTCAACTACGCTCAATACTATTGCTACAAAAACTGATACTTCACAACAGACTGGATGGGATGCATTTTGGCAAATAGACCAGAGCAAAGAATCCTTTCTTGAAAAACAGGACAAGAATTTCTGGAACCCGAGGAAGGATACGCTACCCCTGGGGTGTACACTTGGGCAACTAGGAAGGGTAAAAAAAAATGAAAATGTAATAAAACATCATTAAGACCAAACTGGTTGTGTCATTAATAGTATCTGCACAACCCTATACTATGCGTTTCAAGATATTGAGGATGCAGCCAAGGTTTTCTCATTCACAAAGGGTTCTTCCACACTTCTGCTTCTCCTGTGCCTAGAAATCACACATCTGAATGGTTTTCCGCAAGACCCACACTTTCTAGGCACGAGTCCAAGTAGTTTTCCCTTTGCCCCACTCCTTTTCCAAGGGAAAACCCGCTCTTTAGCAACAGATTGGAAGAAATGGCAATCCAGGGAAAACCAGAATTGTCGTTTGTGCCGATTGAGTGCTAAAGAGCCCAAAGTGAAAGGACCAAGTCTTATTTCAAGGACTGGGAAACTGTGGCCCTCCCTTTGTTCACCTCCAGCAACTTCTGGAGAGCCACAAGTTCCCCATCCCTTGCCTGATTTTTCTTGACGCTTGATGCTTATTGGTCTATTTTTATTAATTTTAGCACTGTTACTTCATTACATTGTTCCCTGCCAAAAATTGATTTTGTTGAAATTTTCTCAACCAACGCATGGCAATTTCCAGCTTTCACTGTGGGTCAGAGGTAACATGCAGACCAGACAAGGGTTGTGGAGAAGAGTCTAAGAGCTATCTCTAGCTGCTGTAGACCTGGCTGGGTTCCTGAGCTGATCTCTTGTTCCCTCGCATGCATTAGCTTGCCTTTTGCCTCTGCCCATACAACAGATATGGACTATCAAGTGGGTGGACAATGGCTTACTGGCTCTCCAGGCGGTCCAAAAGGTCCTTCTCGTCCTTGGTCACCCTGTGGCCCTGGCTCACCCTAAAAACCAAGAAGAAATTGAAAAGGCATCAACAAAAATACTTTGCAGAATGGAACAGCAAGCAAACATGATAATTACAGGAGTAAGGTGTCTTCTCCATATCTAATTGTGCTGGATTTCCCCTGTAATCAGCAGAGATGAGACCAACCCATATCAAGCAGAAAATCCCTAGAGCAGCGATGACTAACCTGGTTAGTCCACATTGACCACAGTGAATGACAGCCATCTAAGAAGGTGGGACTGAAGTCTATTTTTTTTTAAGGACACATGTGGGTCACAAAAACCCTTTGGCATCACAGCAGGGGACGTGCAGGAGTGCTCAGTAAAATACTTTTTTAATGCTAAAACTTTTTTTCAACAAAATGGACACATTTGGAGGGGGTGTTGTAGGATGACAAAAACAAACTCTTGGCATCATAGTGCTGGACACATAGAGCAGTAACACTTTTTAAAAAAATGACAGGTTTTCCCCCCCTCTTTTTTTGGGGTGTTGTGCTCCAGAGGAGTTTGTGACATGTGGATCAGCAACAGATAGAACGGTTTTGTTCACAGCTTGCTCACGTTCACCACATCAGCCATTTGAGTTTCGACATGAATATGGGATTGTCATTACCATAATCCAAGAGAACGGTTTCCAGAAGACCTGAAAACTCAAGATTTAAACATGATTCCCGAGAAGTAAGTCCAGTAGTTTCAAATGGGCCAAAAGAAACATGAGGATAAATCAAGGAGGATAAATCACTTGCCCATGTAAGTATTCCACGTGAGCCATATGAGTGACTGGTCTGTTTGAATGCTGAGTCAGCACAGGAGCAACTGAGCAAATTCTGCATGCAAATGGGGGCCCATCCACACTTCCATTTGCCCCACTGCTCCCCCCGGGAAAACCCTCTGTTTGCTGCTGAATCAGAACAAACATTATTCAGGTTTTTTGCAGACTGAAGTTTCTTCCAATTCAGCAGTAAACAGAGGGTTTTCCCAGGGAAAGTGGCGGGGCACAAGGAAAACTGCTTGGACCCATGTCTAGAAAGCCTGAGACAAGCGGCAGTGTGGATGAGTCCCGTGTCCGCTTGCGTGGGAAGGGTTTGTACATGGCAGGGCCTCCATGGAGCAGGCTGGCCCTTTGCCCACAGCCAAAATCTCATCCACTTTGGCCCTCCTCTTCTCAGTCCTTTATGAGCAGAGGTTCACGGTGAGTGACTCTACTCATAGCCCAACCAAGGCTACATTCTTGCTTAAAGAATGGTCTGGACAATTCACCCCCCATTTCAAATTCTCTGTGTGCAGCGCTTTCTTTCTGCAGGCGGCCAAGATATTGTTGCGCAAATACCTATGGGATTGTTATACAAGAGAAGGGCAAGAAGCCAGGATAGTGGCATACGTGGAAACTGACTGGCAACAGGCATTTACCAACAGCTCCCTGGTGGCCTTGCTGAGCTGATTTGTATTAATTAAAAGAACTTGGGGTTCTGATGGGAAGCAGAATGGCTTCTTGCAGCCCCACAGCTGAGAAATCACTCGTGGAGAGACAGTCACTTGCCAGTCCACTTTCCAAGAGGAAAGCAGCACTGTAGTGTATATGCCTCCAAATGGAGGCAGTGAGAGATTTTACTTTCTTGGGCTCCATGATCACTGCAGATGGTGACAGCAGCCACGAAATTAAAAGACGCCTGCTCCTTGGGAGAAGGGCAATGACAGGCCTAGACAGCATCTTGAGAAGTAGAGACGTCACCTTGCCAACAAAGGTCCGTATAGTTAAAGCCATGGTTTTCCCAGTAGTGATGTATGGAAGTGAGAGCTGGACCATAAAGAAGGCTGATCGCCGAAGAATTGATGCTTTTGAATTATGGTGCTGGAGAAGACTCTTGAGAGTCCCATGGACTGCAAGAAGATCAAACACATCCATTCTTAAGGAAATCAGCCCTGAGTGCTCACTGGAAGGACAGATCGTGAAGCTGAGGCTCCAGTACTTTGGCCACCTCATGAGAAGAGAAGACTCCCTGGAGAAGACACTGATGCTGGGAAAGATGGAGGGCACAAGGAGAAGGGGGCGACAGAGGACGAGATGGTTGGATAGTGTTTTCGAGGTTACCAGCATGAGTTTGACCAAACTGCGGGAGGTAGTGGAGGACAGAGGTGCCTGGCGTGCTCTGGTCCATGGGGTCACGAAGAGTCGGACACGACTGAACGACTAAACAACAACAAAAGTGTATATGGCAATGGAGCAGGAGTGGGGCTACAGCTTCCATCACCCATAATGAGCAGAGGCTGTGCGCCTGGGGCGGAGTCCTCCACTTCTGATGGCCCCTGCGATGGAGGGCCAGACTCCTTCGGGTACCTTTAGAGGACAGTTTTTTCTTTGTTTGCCGAAATGAATACATTAGAGCAGCGGCCCATCCCAAGAAGCACATGGCAGTCCCTCTTCCTTCTCAGTGGTGCCAAACCTTGACATGAGCTGCACTGAAAAATCAGGAAATGCCGCAGCTTCCGCCTTGTGCATTGGGAGCCAGAGATATCAGCAGCCAGTTCTCTGCAAAGCTGGAGAAGCTGCTCTCACACAATCCGATTCTTGGTCTTAAAAGGAGAAATAAGTGACCCTGACAGAAGTACCAGTTCAGAATGTACATTTCCCTGCACAAACACAATATAACACCTAAACATTTGGTTGCTTTTTGCCCTTGCCCTATCACATCCATATAAGAGTATATTTTTAACATCTTGCAATAGTTAAGGGCAGCACTAGAGAAACCCAGGCCCAAATTCAGCCCAGTCACAAAGCTCACTGAGTGGCCTTGGGCCAGACCTTCTCCCTCAGTCTGAGCTCAGGGATAGTGTCGGATCTGGTGCCACTTGAAGGCAACAAACCAACTGCCCCTCTCACTGCTGCCCCTTCTCCTGCTTCTCTTATTTTTATTGTTTTTGCTGTTGGTAACACGGCAGCGCTGTGCCTTGTCCCTTTCTCTGCCTCACTCTGAGGAAGGGAAGTGGAGTCTTTCTTCACAGAAAGCCACTGTGGGAGAGTTCCTGTCTCATGGCTGCTTTTCCAGGATGGCTAGGCATTCTCTAAACTTAAGGAATTAACAAAAGAGACTGGCAGGCCCTTGCCTAGACCACCTCACCGAAAATGCCTCACTCTGAGGAAGAACCTTTCCCTTCCTCTGACAGGCAGAGAGGAGAGGGCAGGCAGGCAGGCAGGGAGGGGAGAGGTACCGGACTGGACTGATCCGAAGAGGCTTCCAGAGAGGCACAAAAGACAAAATGGCAGGAGGGACCAAGTTCTGTTTTGGGAGCAGCTTTGCCTTCTAAGAATGGCTAACACCCTAATTCCAGCTCTAGTACCACATTTTTCCTATGGAAAATATGCTGTTGTGCGGTACTTGAAAAATGTGATATGCCTACAACAGATCTGCAACCTTGAGGGAAGGCATGTTAACTGTTCATTACAAGCAAGAAACAATTGTATTTTGTAATGTGATGCTGAAACCAATTATTTTATATTGTTTATTTAGATCTATAAACAAACAAGCAACACTTCAGCAGTATTGATGCCCCATCTTGGGTCTTTTGCCTGCAGAGTGTAGCTCCAAACCTGATGCAGAAACTATACTTAAATGTTTACATGTGTGTGATGACACCTGCATGATGGGTATTTGATTTTCCTGGTTTTTGCCCCACAGAGCTGCTGGAGGGGGCACAGATGCTCTTTTTCATTGTGCTAATGAATCTGGCTCAAGGCCCACATCCATTCTTAGGTAACTGAATCAACACAATAAGCATCTAACGACAATGAAAAACTACTTTCCTGTCAATCTGCTTGGAAATAGAGTGTCTAGAACACCATATTCCACACCTGCAAGAAGTCATAATGGTTGGGGTAAGCTCAGAGCACTTTAATGATGAGGCCTCAGGACAGCCCTTCAGAGAGAAAGCCTGGCAAACAGAAACGAGCAACTTGTATGGAATTAGAGAAGCTGGGGTAAGCAGAGGAGTGACTGTTGAACGCTCACTGTCTGTGGAAGAGGCTCAAATGAATTCTTAAGATCAGCATTTGTGAAAGCGCCTAAACCTTGGGAGCTCCCCTCTTTCCTCCCTTTCAAAGAGCCCCAATTTAAGGCACTCTGCTGGCACATCTATCCACATCTGGTTCACAAAGTACAGCTGAACTGCTGTTTGTGAAAACATGAGATGTAAACAGGAAACTGAAATTTAGATGAGACTTGAACTTTCCTCCTGCTGTGCCTGCCCAGCACATCAAGCTGATTTATGGGTTTGTGTGTTTGTATGGGCTCCATTTCCACTATGCATGACAGCAGAGAGCAAACTGTTTGCAGTTAGGACAGGAGGTGTCTTCACACCAGACACACAGTGACACACGACTCAAACGAAAGCATGCACAATGGGCAGAGTCCAAGACAAGCTCTTGCACCACACAACCCTAACAGAGGAAAGGAGGTGGGCCTTTAAGGCTGCCATTCTATAGCCCTTACTTGGGAGGATGACTAAGGGCTTAGCCTCACGTACCTTTCCTCCACTCTTCCCAGGCATGGTCCATGATTTAAAGCTCTGTGTTGGAGCATACACATCCTTTTTTTTGTTCCAGACCTTTCCCGATGAAAACCCTCTTTAAAGCTCAATTGGAACAAGCGCCAATCTGCGGAAAACCTGAATTGATGTTTGATCTGATTCAACTTTAAAGAATGGATTTTCAGTGGGAAAGCCCAGGGCAACCCCCCCCAAAACCCCACAACAACCCCATGCTCGGACACAGAGCATTAAGGACAGAGCATGATCTGTCTGACGTTGGCCCAGATGAACTGATGTAATAGAAGCTTAGGCTCAAAATACTGACTGTGGGGTTAGTTGAATGTTACAGAGATGTATTTTCACCAGAAGGTTTTCAAAAGACACCTTACAGACTGACCAAGTGAGCTGGAAGAGAAAAAGACAACCCCTGAGGCTTATATGGTAGACTGCAAAATGTCTTTTTTCCCCCTGGGAGGTCTTGAGCAGATGAAATGAAGGGGAACCTATGATTTAAATGCACGATGCTTACTGGAGTTTTTTTTTATTTAACAGCACTAATTTTTCTCAGTGGCATCAGAACATTTTTCCGTTCTCCCTGGCAGAAGTTGCGCCACTGCCCATGTTGGTTTTGGATAGATAAACTCTACAAGTTGTCCAGCTCATGTGCCTGTTGGGTGATTCAGCTTGGGACAGACATATAAAATATTTTCCTACTTACGCCCAGTTCGTATGGAGGAGCTGAATCCTCTCCCTGAAAAGAAACATTCTCCCCTCCCCTCTACAACTGCACTGTTCTTGGTTTGCTTAGCACCAATATATGAATGCAATCCAGGAACTCCCCAGTGAGTCATGCAGATCCTCCAAGCCAACAGAGCTGTAAGAAATTCAGTACATAAACAGGTTTTAATAGAAATGGGTAATTTAGGAAGCAAAAGGAAAAGGCTTTTTTTAGATGTTCAAGCACTTCAGCAATGTTTGACCCAAACCACCCTACAGCTTTGCACTTTATTCCACATCTCATACAAAGTTTGCTTGAATCTTTACATTATGTAGCCGTCTTCAAGCCTCGTGCAACTTGTGAATATCACAAATGACAACTACATTTTCTGGCTCTAAAGATATATTTGTGCCTTTCTTCTACTAGACAGACTACTGCTCGTTGGCTGATGGATGAGCAGAGCACAGAAGCTGTAAGATCTGGGTTGTTCCTGTGGAGCCCTGCCTTTACCTGCCCCACACCTGACGTCATGTATGATGCCAGCTGTGGGGCAGGAGGGTCAGTGGCTCCCTCCCCCTTCTCAACCCCATTATGCTGCACCTGCTGTTTTACGTGGTATGGTAGGAAGCACAGTCTTGGAAGGGATACAAGGCCCCTTGAGGAAGTCCTGCACTGAACAAATGCACATTTTTCATACCTTGCTCTGATGCAGCCCTGGCAGGAGGAGAGGGAAGGCGGTAGGTCAGTGCTGGAGACCAGAGCTTATGAACTGGCAATTGAGGGCTGCTAAAGCTGTGGTGGTCTGCACTTGCTTCAGGCCACAAGGCAGGAACAGGGCACATGATCGCTGTGACATTGCGCATGGGAAGGGTAAAATGCCAGGGACTGCTGCAGAACTTTGAGTGGCCCCATTTAAGGACAAAAACAAATCCAGCTAGCATATAGCAGACCTCTCTGCCTGGCACAGCTTGGACAGCTTCCCTGCATGCTTGAGATTGAATAAGGCAGTGAGAGGAAAGACAACAAGCTCTACTGAAATATTATTTCGGGATTTGCTTGTTTACCTTTTCCCCTCTTGGTCCACGGGTACCAGGGTTCCCTAGCGGCCCTCTTTCTCCATTTGCACCCTGTGTGATAAAGAACATGTCAGAGATGAGGAGATTGTAGCGCACTGGATTCAGCTATGAATTTGACTGACAGCCATAGCAGTCAGCTTTGTTATCTGATGGCTACATGACAATGCGACTGTGTTGTGGTTTTCTCTCATCTGGCAGAACTGAGTGGGGAAGGTAGTATAAGAGCTTGTCCTCAAAAGCCCATTTAGAAGGTAGTTGAGAACATGTTGGGGACAGGGGGAGATCTCCTGGGACAGCTGTGACTTAAGGGATGTATCAGCCTCATAAAAGGATAAAAATGATGTCAATGCTCAATTCCTCAGGCAGCCCAGAGCAACAGGGAAGAAGGCATTCTTGGTTGTGGCACCTTGTATGTGGTTTCCCTGGGAGTTGACCATTCTGGTGGCAGGCCAAAGCTTTCTTTTATTCCATCAGGCTTTTAAAATGGGTTTCCTCTGCTTTATTATTGTTTTGCCGTTGTTGCTGTTGTATCTCAGGTGTCAAAGAGGTGTGTCTTCAGGACATGACAAAAACTATGCAACACTCACCTTTGAGAGGAGGAAATTCCACAGCTTAGGTGCTGCTACAGAAAATGCTTTCTCCCATTCTGCCACCCCCAAACCTATAAGAAACTACGAAGACTGTCCCTTAACTCCTGAAAGAATCTCTTAGGTGGCCACTGAGGGCTTTAGCACTCATGGGAACACCTTGAACTGGGCCCAGAAACAAAATGGCAGCCAATGCAGCTGTTTTAGAATGGGGATTATGTGAGTTCTGAATGGAACCCCAGCCAATAGTGTCTCTGCTGCATTTTGAACCAGTTGAAGCGCTTTGTGGCAACTTCAAGGGCAGCCCTGTGCAGAGCACATTCCAATAGTTCAGTCTGGATGTTGCCAGAGCACAGAGTGCTGTGGTCAAGTAATCCCTGACCCAAAAGGACTGCAGCTGGCAAACCTACCAGAGTAGGAAACAAGCACTCCCAGCTACTGAGGCCACCAGAACCTCCAGTGACAAGGTTGGAGCCAGGAGTTGAAGAAGGTTCTTTGCTGCAGCACTTCACAGGTCACTGCATTCTGTGCCAGGTCATCCCCATGGCTTTTAATCAGCCCTCCATGTCTCAACTACTGCTATGTTGGGTTTCAGAGGATTACTCAAAATCGGTGCCTCGAGTCCTCATATTGTTGGTTACTCTAGCCAACAGGCACACTTCCCCTGTAATGAAAAGAGTAGCCTTACCCTGTCTCCCGTGGGGCCATCTGGGCCAGGATTTCCCTATAAGAATAGGAAAGAAATGTTGAAACCAATCTGTGTAGCAATCTGGTCATTTAGACAATGGAGAATTTTTACATGTCTACCTCATCTCCCATTTCTCCTTTCTCTCCAGGCACTCCGGACTCTCCAGGCGGTCCCTAAACAAACACATGCGAGACAAGAAATAAGCACATTAAAATGAAAGGATTCCGAAATAAGTGACTGGGAGCTCAGGCACCAGCTGTGCGCCACATGGCAAGAGTTGATCTCAAGAACAGAAATGGATATATCTGCCAAAACAAGATGGTCTTCTTTGGAGATGTCATTCAAAATTGACATATTCGCTTACACAGACAAAATTTGAAAAAGTGGTATCTTTTATTTAGTCGCTAATCTTCCACAGTCTTGTTCTTTCAGGTGTTTCTTCATATGGATGAATCATATGAAAAATGAAAGCAGGTTGGAAGCCAAAGCTTGAAGGAAAATGGCTGTTACTGAATTTTGTTATAATAATAATAATAATAATAATAATAATAATAATAATAATTATACCCCGCCCTCCCCAGCCAAGGCCGGGCTCAGGGCGGTTAACAAGCAATAATAAAAACAAATTGAATGAATACAACTTAAAAACAAAATTAAAATACAACATTAAAATATTGAAACCTCATCGCAGGAGGAGAAAGGAAAAGAAAAAAGAAAGAGAGAGGGGGAGGGAATCAAATTGGCTCCAAGCCAAAGGCCAGGCGGAACAGCTCTGTCTTACAGGCCCTGCAGAAAGAAATCAGATCCTGCAGGGCCCTGGTCTCATGAGGCAGAGCGTTCCACCAAGCCGGAGCCAGTGTTGAAAAGGCCCTGGCTCTGGTTGAGGCTAATCTAACTTCCTTAGGGCCCGGGACCTCTAGGGTGTTGCTATTTATGGACCTTGAGGCTCTCCGTGGGGCATACCAGGAGATATGAAGATAAAAGCATAGCCTCCTCTAGAGAGAACAATTCATCCTCTCTCTCTGGGCCCCCACTTTGGCCAGTAAGGCGACTTAAGCCAAATTAAAGGTTTTCAGGCAGGATGGCCCTTGCCCCTTTCTCTCTGGGCCTCTGCAAGTAACTGAGTGGGCAGGTGGCAGATGTTAATGCGGCTCTCCCTCCCACCTTCGCTGCTCGTGCAGCCCACCATTTTAGGGCCCAGGGTCCCAATCTTCATAATATCTCAGAGGGAGGAAGAAGAGCGAGGCAACTGCCTCTTCTCCCCTTTCTCATTACCCCTGCTTGCTCTCTGGCCCATCGTCACCTTTGGGTAGCAACAGGGAACAGCAGAAGCCAATGGGCCCCAGGCAGAAATATACTTGAGCTGAGCCATGGGTTTCAGCAGGTACCTGACTACGCTGACCCCAGCGCTAACTCCATAGACATTTAGAACACATATCAGAGCTGGGTAGAAAGACAGATCTTCTCAAATGCAAAGGGATTGTTGTTTCACTGCCAGATGGCTGTTCTTTCATGAACTTGTGGGGGAAACTAAGCATGGTGAACACCAAGCTCCTCTTCATCTTAACTGACTCCTTGCAAAGAGAGTGTGTAGCTAACAGAGACATTGAGGACATCATTGCAGTATGGAAAAGAACTGAGTGATCGTCTACAGGCCATGTCTTCAACCTTACCTTATCTCCAGGACTTCCAGAGTTTCCTGTCCTGCCTGGTCTTCCACTAAGCCCAGGCTCTCCCTTGAAGGAAATAAAACCAGACACAAAACAGAATTGTGAAGCTAAATATGACTCACTATTTTAAATTCAATCGTCCAGTTTTTAAATTATAATCTCTAAGCATGTGCATAATTTTGATCTGCCCAAGAGTGCAGGCACCAGCCTTGATCAAGAGCTCAAGAACTTTCAGAGGAACAACAGTAGGCCCCAAACTGGAAGGAACCAATGTTCAGTAATCAGCTGGTGATGGGAGAATTTCTTCCTAGTCCTGTTCACAAGTATGCTGGGAAATCTAGATTCTGGGCTTATCCACATTTACCTTTTGCCCCACTCTTTCAGGCATAAGTCTCTGCTTAAAAGACCCGTGTCTGAGCATTTCTGTTTTGCCCCAGAACTTTCCCCACAAAAACGCACTCTTCAGTGTTCCATCAGAGAAAACACAAATTCACATTTCCCACAAAGTGCCATTTGCTCTGGTTAAGCTTTAAAGAGCAGGGAAAGCTCAGGTTGTGGGGTTGGGACTTGGACACAGAGCTTTAAAGTGTGGCCATCTACCTGGAAACAGCAGAGGAAAGGGAAGTGTATGCAAGCCCCCCTGGTTGATCATTCTTGATAACTTGGCTCTAATCCCTTATGTACGATGGTGACCAGTGTGTATACAGGACCTCAAGACCTGCCACCTTAGAGAGTCAGTGTGGTATAGTGGTTATCACAAAAGTGGACAGAAGAACAGCCATTTTTGCAGAATGAGTATATTGGTCCTCCAGCAGTTCATTTTATTTGAGAGATACAGTGTTAAATGTCCCTCCAAAATGGGACAGTAATTGAAGCATGTGTGTTACAGTTCCCTTCCATGCAACACTATATAAGCTACTCTGAGCCACTTCCTTGGCATTAACCAACCAGACCAAAGTTTGTGGTAGGCGATTATTTGGGTATTTGGATGACACAGAATGTCAACCATGTAGAGTGGGAGGTTATCTTACTACCAATGTTTTTTATCCCTCTTTGTCACAAACGCTCCAAAGAAACACACGTCTAGAATCTATTAATCTTCACCAAAGTATGGAAAATATCCTGTGAGGGGAAAGTGTGAAGATTTGGGGACTAGGTGTGACCATCTCAAGTCATCTTCACGGCTTTATTTATTTATTTATTATTTCATAAAATTTACATACCGCTTAGTTGTAAAAAAAAAACCCTCAATGCAGTTTACAAAAGAGGGAGTAAAATCAAGAAAAAATACAACCTTACTTTAAAATATACACAAGTTAAAATATTAAAACAGATCAAAATTACCTCAACTTTTTAAGCAGCTGGGTAGGCTTGTCTAAACAGGAATGTTTTAAGCGGGTGCTGAAAAGAGCACAGGGAAGGCACCTGCCTGATCTCACCAGACAGGGAGTTCCAAAGTGCAGGAACTCATGATAACCAACATTTTCCTTTTTTGTTTCACTGCAAGTCTCAGTGCATTCTTGAAAAGGTGTTGCTAGGAAAACGTGAAGCCTCAATACAACATAAATTTTGCTGCAATAAGATTGCTTTTCAACACCATGATGTTGATCACACTTCTTTTGCAAAAAAAAAAAATAAAAGGCAGATAAAGGGTGCATGATCATTTTAGGCAATCAAAGTCGCCCTAGCAAAGCAACAGCCAGGAACAGTGCAACTCACTAGGCCTCTTCCCCAAGCGTTGTTCTGCAAGTGTGGTGAAATGTTCATGTTCAATTTCCACCTGACTTTCAGCACAGAACAGTTCCCTGACCTAAACAGATAGCTATACTGCCCCAAGCCATAACAAAGAAGACAGATTATTATTCACCTTTCTTCCTTTGGGTCCATAAGGACCTAGATCCCCTTTTGGCCCAGGAGGTCCTTGCAAGCCCTGTTTGAAACCAAGTTGCAATCAGTGTATGTGGGAAACAAAGATAAATCACATATGTTAACATATTGCAATGATCCTCATCAAGGGTAGGGGCTGATTTTCCCCTGGGATCCAACTGCCCCCCTCAGGTACGTGTTTGGCGACAGCCTCCCTCAATCAATCTCCCAGCACTGCATTTCAAACTTTCCCATGTTGCAGTTTCTCCTCCACTAGTGAGATTCTGCTGCTCACACTGACTCTAGGAATGCACCTATATCCAATCCAATCCAAATATTTGTTACGGTCATAGACTAGCATAAGGTAAAAGCACCTCCATACACAAATAAAAGATGCTAGATAGGCAATAAGGAAAGTGCAGAAGTAGAGGGTCACATACTCATCCTCTCAGCTGCAGTAGACCAGCATATGATAAAAACACATAAAACATGTCCCTCTATATAAAAAGCTGCATCCACTATTGCGGACTCAGATCTCTGCTGCTACAAGCCTAGGGTGATCTAGTATGTTGAACCTACGTACATCAAATCCTGGGGATCCTTTGCATCCTGGTAACCCATGAAATCCTTGTTCACCCTGTAAGGAAAGAAAAGTTGTCCAGATTGATAACCTGCCATTGTTGTTGCTTCTTCCTGTGATCAGCAGCATGCAATAGGCTACTATATAGCATTCACAGAAAGTGAAATTACCCAAAGAAACTAAATCAGTGAGCTTTTTAAAAATAATAATTATGGAAGCAACTGGCTTTGATACATGGCAAATAGTTCTTCAGAGTTAGGCAGCCCCACCTGCTCTGCAAACAGTGGACTCCCACTCCTGGTCTGGAAAGTGTTGTGCCCACGACATTAACCTGACTCCATATCTACCCTGAATCCATCCTGTGTTTTGATTCATTTCCCCACAAACCAGCTTCTGCCTGAACCCGGAAAAATAACAACCCAGCCATGTTTTATGTTGGTAATGTGTACACAGCTTTAATGCAGTCTAAAAAGATCTGAGTTGCTCATTCCAGCTTAAGCATTTGGTGATTTCCCCTCTGAGCGCTTGGATGCTCATCACATTGGCTATTCCTTCTGCATGTCTGTTCTTCTTACCATTACACATTTAGTGGTGATTTTCTTGGAATGAGCCTTTTCAGGCCCTGCTGCAAATATTTTTCATGCACATTTGCTCTGACTTACACACGTTTCTTTGTTAGGAAAAACATAGAGATTGTGCCCTGTCCATGAAAATATTAACCATACCTTCTTGCCATCTAAACCATCGATGCCACGCCTGCCTTTCTCCCCCTGAAAGGAGAAAAAAATGTCAAAAATGTAAAAACAATGTTTGTTGTCTCCAGCATAACTTTCCAAGTAGCATCCATTCCCCCCCCCAAAAAAAACACAACAACCCCCAATACATACCTTGGCTCCTTTTGCACCTCTTGAGCCCTGTGAATGAGAAGAAGATTTAGTTTGTGGTACCAGCTACTGAAATGTGCCTCACTGATCACCTAACCAACCAGGGGCGAATGTATATTTATTATTATTTTCATTTGTATCCCATCAAGGAACTCAAGGTAGCAAACATGGTGTTCAGAGGTGGCTTTTCATCCTAGCATTGATCAGATCCAAGCCTGCTTAAATCCAGCAAGGCACCTTTATCATGTGTCCTCAGACCACAGTCTAGGAATCCCCTCGCTAACTGTGGAGAGATTGTTCTCTCATTAAAAAAAAGATGGGTAAGTGGAAACTTACAAAATATTTCAGTTCCCACCCATCACCACTGACATATCTATAACCAACAAAAGCATACTTTAACTGTTTTGGTTCTGACAAAAAGCAAAACAAACCCCTTTCGTATTCAACCCCAAATTGCTACTTATAATTGGATGCTCATGGCCAGGGCTTTATATTGTGCTGTGTACTGTGCTAACTATTTTGTGATATTTTGGTCCTAGTAAAAACTGAACAGGTAAGAGCTCCAGGTAAGGGTTGTTTAAATGGCCAGGGCACAGACGGGAGGGAAGCCCTTCTGTTCCATCAGCTCCGCCCCCTGGCCAGCTTGCATCCGAGCCTGCACATCCATTCGTCAATCTTGGGTGCAGGCTAGGATCTGGCTCCTGATAGGCAGCGCGGGCTTTCACTGGCTCCGCCCATCAGGACAGGAGGCCAATCCTGGGATTCCTCTCCGGGTCCTTGACACCAGCAACACCGTGGCACCATGAGGGTGAGTGGACTTGCTGGACCATTTTGGATTTTTTATATTGTTATTGAGCAGACTCTTTGCCTTCTGTAGGGTTGCACTGTTAATCAATGGCACACTCACCTTGTCACCTCGGGTACCTTTTTCTCCCTAAAGAGGACAAGGGGGAAAACACATTACAAAATGAAGAAACGAGACAAAATTTAACTATAGAAAGTCAAATTAAGCAACCCGTTAGCCAACAGTATACCTTCATGCCTTGGTAACCAATGGGTCCTGGGTCTCCTTGCTTCCCCTAGAATAAAGTAATAACAAGAAAAGTCACAAACCACTTTGCACAAAGTAATCAGACATCTGCTGTCATATGCACTAGTATCTGAAGATTTTTAGGCAAAAGCAATTTTATTATAATGGACAGGACATGAAAGATTGTACATTAATGATATTCTATAACTTTTAATGTATGTCATTGTGGGTGAAGACAAGCAGCCATTCTAAGGGTTCATCCCACCATTTTCGCCTGGGAAAACCCAACCTTTGCTGCTGAATTTGAAGCAAACATCAGCTAGGTTTTTGCAGATTGACATTTGCTCCAGTTCAGCACTAGAATGGGTTTTCCCAGGGAAACCAGGGGTGCAAAGGCAAAACCACTTGGATTCATCCCTAGAAAGCGTGGGGCAAGTGGAAAGGCACCCAGCCCCATGATCTCTAGGCACGGAAGAAGCGGAATGTAAAAGAGCCCTAACTGTGGTGAAAGTATGTGTCGCAACACACATTCTTTGCTCAGTAAATGAAGGCCCAGGGATATAGAAAGGAGGCATTCAAACTGCCTTTAGAATCCTGTCTTCACTTGATGACTCCCAGTGTATTTAATTTACTGTTTAAATACATAAAACTATTTGTACCCCACTTTCGATCCACAAGGTGATTAGCTACAAAGGAAAATAAAAGAAAAGCAACACTCATTACATACAGTCCAAACAGCTGAGTGAATAAAAATGCCAACAGCAGTCTGGCTTATAAAACCAGCAGTCAGCCAAGTCTAAAAGCTTTGTGAAAGAGACGCCTTTGCCTGGGTTGCTTCTGCCTTCGTGGATGAGAAGGGGAAGCTCTTGTGAGTCTGCAGCTCTGATCATGCCCCGAAACCTCTATCTGCTTAACTGGCTGATGGAAATTTAATTAGTTTTCTGGACAGCCAGGGAAGGCATTCAATCTCCCCACTAAACTCAAGGAAAAAACCCCTACCTAATGAGTGCATGAAAATGAAACCAAAGGAAAAAATTTAAATGAATGAAGTGCTGTTTCCTGATCTTCCAAACTAAAAACAAACAATATGAGTAACCATCCCTTTGGAGATGTGGGAGAAACTCGCCACCTCCCAAACTAAAAGTACCCAGGTTTGGTTTGGTTTTTTAAAGAGGAGGGAACAAGGAATATGTGTGTCTGTGTGTGTGTGTGTGTGTGTGTGTGTGTGTGTGTGTATATATATATATATGCAGGTTTTGGTGTCCTCGGGTGTCTTCCCGTGTAAAAGTTGGGGTGTCTAGGCGACGTTTCGACGAGGTCTCACTCATCATCTTCAGGCTGGTGCTTTCGGCTTCTTGTTAGCACCAGCCTGAAGATGACGAGTGAGACCTCGTCGAAACGTCGCCTAGACACCCCAACTTTTACACGGGAAGACACCCGAGGACACCAAAACCTGCATTCCTGTACCCGTGAAAATCTACGAAAGCATATATATATATATATATATATATATATATATATATATATATATATATTCCACCCTGTTAGCAAATTGTATCCCAAAGAGGACTGAATAACCCTGCCTTGTTTGTACTTTGAAAGAGGTGGATCCCCAAAGGCAGGCAACAAATAAATAAATCTGAGGGTAGAATATGTTACTGTTGGCTTCTTGGCCAACACCTGGCAAAAAAAAGAGATGTAAGTTAAAAGAGTTGGAAATATAGGGGTGGGGTGACTCAGTGTAGCCTAAGCCTGGTTGAGGCCTCTTGCTAATCTTACTTAACGGGCAGATAAACCCTCATGAAGGCCAGGGAGCAGCAGAGGGGAAGATCCACCAATGGCTCTCAAGTCTGGCTGTCTCATGCTGGGCCCCACTCAAGGTGAGGTTCTGGGTTGAGGCTTCCGGATCCAATTGCCTTAATGGAGTAGCTCCCACGGCAACCGGAGATCATTGGCAAAGGGATAAACAAAGATGACTGAGGGTAATTAGCTTTGTAAACTCCCCCCAGGGTCAGGGGAAATCGCTTCACTCATGGACCGTCAGTATCACCACCCACAATGATTCTGTGGAGCAGTCTTCCCCGCTTGGGATATCTAGCTTGCTGGGCTTGGTGTTCCCTTTGATGTACAGAGCGACACCATCTCTGGTACATCCTTCTCTGCCCTTCCTGTAGAGTTTATATACTGAGATAGCTATGTCCCACTGGTTCTCTCCATTCCACCAGGTTTCATTTATGCAATATATCAGTGCACTTCACTTCACCCTTCTTGGCTCAGAGGCTTCTAACATTAGCATATAAACACTTGTGTACAGTCTCTCGCTTGAAGTGTCTTTGGTACTTGCATTGTTATCTGCCTGGGCTCCATTCAGAAGGGTATGCAAGGGCATTGCTACAGAAGATGCAATGACAAATGAGGGCCTTTGATTTTTATAAATAAATCTTCCCTTCATAATCTTGCTTCATAATTTGTGTTCTTATTTTGTATTTTTATGTTGTGAATTGCCCTGTGATCTTCAGATTTAAAAATCTAAAAAATAAATTATGGTGGTCATCTGCACAAATGTGTAAATAGCATGAATCAGCCTTCACAGCACCCAGAGAAGGTTTCTCAATAGGTTTCCCTAAACAAAGTTTTATTTTACTTGATTATTTCCCAGTCAAATAACTGCGACTTACAGGTTCTCCAGCATCTCCTTTTTCACCAGGAAGGCCAGGTTTCCCCCTTTCTCCCTGAAACAAAACAGAGGTAAACATGAGACACAATTTTGATTTTATATTCAGTTCCATAGACTAGGATTCCTGCGTTGCAGGAGGTTGGACTAGGCATAGCTGTCAACGTTTCCCTTTTTTAAAAAGGGAAATTCCCTTATTTTGAATAGGATTCCTCGCAAGAAAAGGGAAAAGTTGACAGCTATGTGGACTAGGAGACCCTTGGGACACCTTGCAACTCTACAATTCTATACAAATGTATGGGGTGGGGGGTGGGGAGTGTGTATGGGGGACCAAGAATATCCTCAGACTTGTGAATGAGATGAATTTCCTTTCAAGAGCCCATTTAATTGGTGAAGCCACCACCACGTTGTTCTTGTAAATCTGTTTGTTTGTTTTTTTAATCTGCCACACTGCAGACATTTCCAAACGGCAGCTTTAAGTAGTTGGCCCTTTGCAACACAGAAGGACGTCTAAATTACATTTAACAACAACATTAGACAAATGAGAGACATCACCACGACATAGGTCAAGGTAAAGGGACCCCTGGCCATTAGGTCCAGTCGTGGCCGACTCTGGGGTTGCGGCGCTCATCTCGCTTTATTGGCCGAGGGAGCCGGCGTGCAGCTTCCGGGTCATGTGGCCAGCATGACTAAGCCGCTTCTGGCGAACCAGAGCAGTGCATGGAAATGCAGTTTATCTTCCCGCAGGAGTGGTACCTATTTATCTACTTGCACTTTGAGGTGCTTTCGAACTGCTAGGTTGGCAGGAGCTGGGACCGAGCAACGGGAGCTCACCCCATCGTGGGGATTCGAACCACTGACCTTCTGATCAGCAAGTCCTAGGCTCTGTGGTTTAACCCACAGCGCCACCCACGTCATAGCATTTATTAATTAAAGTATTTGGGGCATTCCCACCACATGTGGAGGTATGTCTCCTCCTCATCTTTCCCCACCAATGTCTGGTACAATAGTGTTTCATACAGAATGTAAACGAGCTATGAAAAAGACTATGAATTGAAAGTGGATATGTTATATGTACATTTCTTTACTTATTTGCTTGCTTTGTATCACAAAAAAATCTTCAGTAAAAACAATTTTTAAAAAACACCCTTTGAAATTTATGCTGTGCTCTTTGGTTCTTCTGCAAGCTCACATGTACACCTGCCACCCCTTGTACTTTGGACAAGGGAAGCATATGAAATAGGAAAGATCTCATCACATTGGTAAGTTCTTATGGGAGAAGACAGCTCTTATTTCTTAAAGTATCCTGGGTCGATCCCACTTAGAGCTCTGGCGATTCAAGTCATCCCTTTAAATATTGCCTGGAAGCAAACCGGAAGACAGTTAAGCTACTGCAAAATTGGGACCGCATTCTGCACACAGCTTGCACCAGGCAGCCCTCAGACAGATGCATTTGGAACTAAGTGGTGTTTTTAATTACTTTTCAAGGAGCTCATTTTGGTGGACTAATCCAGATGTGAATAAGGCCAGAATCACTGTGGCTAAGCAATTTCTTTCCAGGAAAAGTTGCAGCTGGCAAATCTAAGCTTTTAAAGTGCACACCAGCTATCAGTGCCGCCTGTACATCCCAGTGTGGTGCTAGATCCAGCAGCACCTTTAAGCTCATTCAGGATTAAATCCTGGCTGGCTTCTATTTTCCCACTTACTCACCTGGCATTGACCAGCAGTAGACAAAGACGGTTGTGTCACTGGCTGAAAAACTGGAAGGGTGGAATACCTTGCAAATGTCACATGTTTTCGCCACTGTCAGTCTCCTTGTCCCACCAGTGGCAGTGTATTCCTCAAAACTTGTTAGATTTTCCACATTCAGCCTTATAGGTGTGGCAAATTGAGTAAAATACCAACCTCATATCCTGGATCCCCTAATGGTCCCGGGGGCCCTCGGGCAGGCTGCAAAAAGAACAGTGAAGAGTTAGTGATTTGAGCAGAGAAATGGGACCATTTTGACATTAAATATGATTTATATTACTAGATAGACACTCACCTGGCATTCATATGAGCAGCACTGCCAAGAAAGAGAAAGTATACCATTAGAGGAAGAGCAAAGGACTCACTGGGAAACCAATTTCACAGAACACACACTCTTTCTCTACTAATCTAGCAGAAAAACCATTTATTCATGTTTACGCAATGAACTACAGTTTAACATATCCCCCAAGGTTTGCTTTGGTCAGCTCTAGGGGGAGTTAGAGATGTGCCATAGGCTTCCATGTGATAGATGGCAAACTAATCTACTGAGTACCAAGATTGGTAAACTGAAGCAAAAGACTACACTAAAAAAACCAGCAAAGTGACTATACACCAAAATGTTGGCAAATCTGAAACAAATGTCCCTTTAAATGGAATAAAACGGTCTATTTGCATGTGACTTTTTCCTGCAAAGCAGGCAATGTATTTGCATGTGACAACTGCACATGAGTCTATTTTGCTCCTTGAATAATGCAATCTGTCCTTTAGGCCTTTCTCCTCAAAACCCTTCCATACTGACAAGCAGCCTCAGCTTGGACCAAGGGTTCTCTCCATTATGCTCCAGTAGGTGGGTACTTTGGGGTGGAAAGGGATGACCAGATTCCTGTCTGGAAGCAGAAACTTTGTGAGCAGATGGTCATCTGTAACTTCCACCTACACAGGAATCTCATGTTATCACGATTGCCCCAAAATGCAGGGAAGTAGAGAGAAGACAAAGCTTTAGGTTGTTTCAGCCACCATATAATTAGCTTTTAAGAAGCTAATGTACAGTCCCAGTAAAGTGTTTCTGCTTGGCATGAAATGCTAAGTCAAACTCTGACTCATGATTCTGTGAGAAAAATAATTTCCTTTTTCTGACACACAGGCAACAGAAAAAGAGAATCCTGGGTCTCAGGTTTACATTTGCCCTGCAAGCCGAAGTTCTACTGGAGAATAAATGATGGAAACATACAGGGAAATTGTAAAAGTCAGAAATTATTCCTTGGTGGAAAAACACCTTACCTCTTGCTCCACTGTCTCCGTCTGAAATAAACAAACAACAAAGAAGTCATATGAGGCACAAGATGGTTCAATGTATTTGACTCGGAACAAACAGAGAGGGAAGACAGATACCCACAATTCTAGCAGTGATTTTGTCAATTGTGTTGTCAATATCACGTGCTGGACGTCCAGTTGCTGTGAAATTCTCACGATAGGAATGGTCTGTGGCAATCACACCGAGCCGAGATTCCTAGGACAAAAGAAGCACATGGGCAGAAATGAGAAACCGGGAGATTTGGAAGGACTGCTACCCAAATCTAAGTTCCTTGGGGCTGCTGAACTGATGTACCGTAATTCTGGTCATCAGATGACACTGCAATGAAGAAACTTGCTACAGAAAGCTAGGAGATAACTGTAGTCACATGAAGCTTACAATGCAATCACAATCTCTAAAAGTCGTTCTCTAAGAGAAGGCCTGTTATAATCTACCTACAAACCATACAGGGGAGCTGGCTGGGCAGGCACCATTGGAAGGACCCAAGAGCCAGAAATGCTGGATGAAGGCTGTTTAGGCACCATCTGCCAGCCCTATCTATAGTCAAGAGTCTTGCTTTCATAACATAAACTGCAGGAATACTGCGGACAAAATGTACATTTCATATAACACATTTTAACTGAATTATTTTCTCTTGGATGTGGGCAAAGTTTGTTGAAACTGATTCTTTACTTTTTGGCAAAATAATTTACAGGGAAACTGGAGGAATTTATTAATGGGAGGGGGCACTTGAGCATGTCCACTGAAGCTGATTGTAAACAAAATTCTGACGGTAATGTTTGGCAGGTGCTGTGATCTGATAGGGGTGATGTGGAGCTCTTTGAGAAAATTATGTTCCTTCAGGGAGCCAGATTTCAACCTTGAGGTGAGCTGAAGCAAACTTCAAATCATAGTTGAGATGAAGAGCATTTTCTAGGACTATCTATCAGGAAGGTTTTGACCCACTCTTCTTCCAGATCTGGACATGCTGAGACTATACTCATGGTTTCCTAACCCGAAGAGATTGGTTGATCACTGCCAATGCACAAAGTGGTTGTTCAAGGCTTGATACTTGTCCATAGCTTCTTAGTAGTAGTTGCTGGTTTTGACTCACAAAACCTGTGGGGTAAACCTTACGTAGCTGTCACTTTTTCCTCGCCTGCGTTACACCGTGATTTCTAGAGCAGGCAAAAATGACCTCTAATAAAAGCCTTTTCACACATACAAATTGGTGGAGAGAGGAAATGGGTGTGGAATTGTGGACTTAACTTTCTTCCTCTTCTTAGCCCTGGCATCAGAGGCAGAACAGAATAATTTCTGGAAATACTGTATTTCCATGGAGATCTAGCAATGCCTCAGAGATTATTAAAATCCAAGGTTTAGAGAGAGGCCTTTCACCTATCTTCCAGGTCATGGTAGGGATGTTGTGAGCCAAAGGATCAACCAGATCTGCTAAGTAATATCCTGTTTCTGCTTTGATTCTCTCTATTTATGGGCAGCAATTGCTCTAATAGCATCCGTGTGTGTGTGCATTGCATACCAGATGGTCTGGAGATATGGCAATGGAGAACACTTTGATCCCCAGATGTTTCGCTTCAGCTGCAGCATCTTCCAATCCGCCACAGGGCTCTTTGTATCCTTCCAAGGGGTGTCCATCTGTCACCACAATCAGGTATTTATTTTCATTCTTATGAGATCCTCTGCAGGGGGAAGAAATCAAACCCACTAGTGCCGCCATACTGTCTCTATAATAGGAGAACTCCAAAGCATCAGTCCTAACCCTTGCACTGACATAGCCACCTGCTGTACCAATTGCAATGTCTAATTACACAAAGATATATAGGTTTGTATTTGCTGATGAACCTACTCAACCAGCAATATGCTAGAAACGTAACAAAACACATTATCATAGAATCAAAAATTGTAGAGTTGGAAGGGACCCCAAGGGTCGTGCAGTCCAACCCCCTGCAAGGCAGGAACCTGAACTCAGGACTCAGCTACATTAATTAAAAAAACAGCATTTTGAATGTGTTATAAACATGCAACACCAGATGGCACCAGAGAGCAAAGAAAAATTCTAAGTGCTTTTCCGTAGCCCTTTTTTTTCTTTTGTTATAACAATTTAATTCTGACTTATTTATAGCACGCCCCCCCCCCCCGGTGTGTAGATCCACCCTCATTCTCAACCTCCAAAGAAGGAGAGTCCACAACCTCCCTGAGGAGACTGTTCCATTGTCAAACAGTTTTTCCATATATTTATTCAGAATCTCCTTTCTTGTCATTTTAAACCATTGGTTCAGGTCCTACCCTCCAGAGCAGGAGAAAACAAGCTTGCTCCTTCTTCCATGTGACAGCCCTTCAGATATTTGAAGATGGATCTCTTATCTCCTCTCAGTCTCCTCTTTTCCAGGCTAAACATACCCAAAGCACATTTGCTCACACAGGCATTTGGGGGAGGTCTGTAAATGAGTCCCACTATTTTTGACACTGAACTGTTTTTATTGATTCGATGCAATTTGTAATGATGTTTAAATCAAATAGCTTATGGTTTTGTTATGTGCGTTCAACACCCTACAGAATGAGGGGTAAATGTAAATAATTAAGGAAATAAACAAGCAATAATAAATCTAACTACGAATATTGTGATCAGAAAGTGCAAATTCTATGACTTAAATAAACTCTCCAACGTAAATAAGGAATACATTTTGTTCTGGTATCAAACTGACTGTTGGTTTTTTTTGTTAGAGGGGAAAAAAAAATCTCCCCACACATAAACACACACAGGTCCTCTCAGAGTCCAGAGAGGCCCAGGCCACTTTCAACATTTGAAACCCCTACTCATAATGAAAATTGAAAATGATGAGTGAACGCAATACAAGTCCTCCCATTCAGCAACCAAAAGCTGCTTCTCTCCCTGCTTCCACGTCAGACGAAGAAAGACACATGATCCTCATGGCAGAAAGCCTGAGAACTAAACGCACAGACTGAATGGAGAGAACTGCACAGTGGAAATGCCTCAGATTCCTGCCTAGTTAGGCTGTGTTCCTTACCCCAAGTACCTAGGAGTAAACTCTACCCAGAACTTAATTCTGAGTAGACAAGGTTAGGAATGCACTTTCAAGAGGGTTGCCAGACCCCCAGGACTAACCTGAAGTCTCCAGGTTTGCCTGACATGCTCCAACCACCCCAGGTGACAAAGGGAGGGCTAGACTCTCCAGTGGGTGAGAGCACCTTAAATTATATGGGGTCTTAGTGGTGGGATAATATCTATGGTGGGGGATGTGTCCTGCTCTTTCTGGGGTAGTTGACCCACCTTTGGTCCCCATCATGCACTCAGTTCTCACCTGTGGCTCCTAAAAGCTGTCCGTCTGGGACAGTGGCCGTCCCCCAATAACAGCTTCCCCTGACCAGCTAAACCAGGTGAGGGCAGCCGATGGGCCTCAAACCCTCAGTGCATTAGGGACTTGCCCATCCCCTGCCTGTGAAAGAGGCTCTGGCAGACTGAGCAGATGAGACCAACAAAAACAGGAGCAACAATTTTGGAACAATTCCTGTTGTGCCTTTATGCATCTTTGTGGGGAGCGGGGGCAGAAAGTCGTGGCCATTTTGGTTTGTCAATGCAAATCATTGCGAGGATTGAAACTTTGGCGCCCCCCCCTCCCAGCATGGCTTTGGATTCGAGGTCATAGGTGAGGGTCCCCCCAAAGCAATCCAAAGCAAATAAAGGCTTGAAGCCTTGGCGGGGGCCTCACTTATCCCCCTCCCCTTTTTCAAAAGGTCTTTGAGGCAATGAGGAAGGGAGGGAAAATTGGCCTACATTGCTGCTCCCCTCCTCTTCAAAAGGCCTTCTGGGCAACAAAATATGCTGACCCCCCCAAACATCCTCAAAAAAGAAGAGAAGAGAAGAGAAGAGAAGAGAAGAGAAGAGAAGAGAGCAAGGGGCAGATAAATCTGACTCCGACTCCAAGCCAGCACTTTGATTCACAGAGTGCCCCCCACCCCCGCCGCAGAGTCCTTAGTAAAGAAGACTGGAGGGGTTCATGCCACAGCCAATGTATAGGAAGAGACGCCTTGAAGCAAGTCATAAACATTTTAAACTCTTTAATACAATCAAAGCTATATCACTTAACCCCCAAAATGTATGCTACCAAACCGCATCTCTTAGAGCAGCTTAACTTTGCAGTCACATGATGGTCCAATGTACATAAAAACAACTTGTGGAACTTATCAAATGCCAACGAATTAATGAGCCCCCCCTTTGAACTTGAGGACCAAGCCAAATGTCCCTTGCCGCCCTCTGACCAGCCCTGTGTGTGTGTACACACACACACACACACACACACACACACTTGTGTGACAGCTGCTTCCCCATGGTGCAATAAATTTACCTGAATGCTTCTTATTAAACTAGCATTTTGTTGGGATGGAGGATACGGATTTGATGGGAAAGAGCCTTGCCGCTGCATGTCTGCTCTCTCACACACACCCTCCTGCAAAGGGTCAGGTTACTGTAAGCTCTTGGTGTAAAGGGCAAAACACCTGCCACTGCCCCACCTCCTTCTTCCCCAACCCAAACAACTATGGGAAAGGGGATGGAGACAGCAAAGCCTCAGCGAGCCAAAGCAGAGCATGCTCATCCCAGTCCACCAGCCCAAGAGCCCCTGGTGGAAAAGGATACTACTTGCAGCATTTCCCAATGCTTGGCAGTACCCCACCCTAAAAAGAAAACGTCCCCTGTCAAGGCTCTGCAAAGTTCTGCTGCTTGGATTTGGGCAGGGACAGGGAGAGGCACAGAGCAGCTGGTTTGGCTCACCAAATAACGTACCTTTGGGGGATGCGGAAGGACATGTTAGGGGACCATCTCAGAGCCTTAATCCAGCGGGGACCCTTTTTGGACTAGGTTGTCTTGGTGCTGTTCACACGCATTCAAGCTGGGTAGTTGCTCTTGGGCGTAGCCCTGGTCAAACGTGCATGATAGTGTGTGCATTTGTGCCTGTGTGTGTGACACTGGTGCATGTCAAGTGTGTGGGAAATCGCATCAATAAGAAAGAGCAGAAAGTCTGAAGAACAAACTAGTACAGGCCAACAAAAGCACACATCTAAAACAAACCTCCTGTTTCCAAGGGTTTCTCCACACGACAACAAATTTGGTTTCAAATTCTGCACCAAAATCCAAACAATTTATCACAGGATTCAATATTTTTGCCTAGTGAAATTGATAGGTGTATATGAACGGGCTGCTGTGGCATCAGGGACCAGCTGCCAAGCCACCAATACTACAGTCCACTGGAAAGGGCTAGAAAAGCTGCCCAGGTACCCCATCTTCCTCCCACTTTTCCCTTCCTCCGTTGACGGAATGAGAAAATTAGCGTTCCCACTTACCCGATGAGCAGCTCTTCAATCCCTCTCTTGATGGCACAGTCTGTGTAGGTGCCTTTGCCAATAGAAACCACGGAGGAGACCCTGTTCTTCAGGTCTGCTCTCCCTGCAGGCATCCGGCTGAGCTCCTTGATCAGCTGCACTTCATCACTGTAATGCAAGGCTCCCGCATTCCACACAAGATTCCGGTCACACCGATAGTACCTATAAAGAAAGAGAACCACTTCCTTAGCTTTGGTGCCCCTTAAATATCCTTTATTTCTGTCTGTTTATAATGTACAAATAGACATACGTCACAATGTACATCTGTGAAAGCTCCCCACAGCATCCTGTACCAGCTGGTCCGGCCCACGCATGAGGTGGACTGAGGCAGCCTCCTACTGCCACCAGAGAAGCAAGGAGGAGTGGAAGTGGCTCGCGGATCCACTCCAAGATCTTGCAGGGGAACAACACCTTCCCATTTTGCCTCAGGTGGCAAAACCGGATGGGCTGCCCCTGTGTGCCAGGGTGCCCTGGGAGCAGGATGGGTGAATGGTGTCTGCTGTTGCTCTCCTTCCTTCCTTCCTTCCTTCCTTCCTTCCTTCCTTCCTTCCTTCCTTCCTTCCTGTTGTTGACTCACATACCAGAAATGAGAGGCTGCATGTCTCTTGCCATGAGGCACATAAGACTGCCACTTGCAGGTGTGGGGTTGGGGTTGTTTGAATTTATATGCCGCCCTATTAAAGTTTATTTACAGAAACATTGTAAAATTAATGAATGTTAGAAGGATGCTGGAATGAAGTTATATGGCTCTAGCAGAAATATTATAAAGAATTAAGTAAAAATAGATTGTTAATGGGTCAAAGTGGAAATTTAAGGTTAGATTCTGATAAGATAAATTATAGAACAAAAATTAAGAAAGATGGAAAGGATTTGCTGAAATAGCTAATTGAACAAGAATGCAAAAAAGGGAGGTGTGAGGAGGTCGATGATACAAGTAAATGAAAGGTAGAGATATGGAGATATTGGATGTGTTTTTAAATGTTTTTGTTTCTCTTGATGTTTGGCTGTGTTGTTTTTTCTTTTTCTTTTTCTTCTTTACTTTTGATGTATTGTGAACTTTTTATTGTCCCCCCCTTTATTTTGTAACTATCAAACCTTTAATAAATATCTTTAAAAAAGAAAAAAAAGAATTAATATGCCGCCCTATACCCGGACATCTCAGGGTGGTTCACAGAGTAAAATCAAAATATAAAACCACAAAATACATAATCAAAATAAAAACAACAACCCAATAACACCCCTGACACCTCAAGGATACTGCTGTAGGGTGGAGCACACGAGGGGAGAAAGCGTGTTTTGCCTATCTGCTCTCATAACAAATCAGCACTGATTCAGATAAACAGCAAAAGCTAGATTTATTTATTTTTTATAAAAAAACCTGACCTGCTATTTCTACCACATTTGTCTCGGTTATCTTGCTTAGTAATCTTTGTTCCTTCTCCCATGCCGTTGATAGCAGCCCAACACAGATGTTTAGCTTTCTCCATAAGTGGAGTAGAAGTTGAGCTCTGGCGCAGCTGCATCAAGTGGGAACGGCCTCCTGGCTCTGGTGCAGCTGGGGGAAGACGTCCCTTCTTCCTCCGCTGGGTCCACTGGCTGCTAGGGCTCACCCACAGTTGAAGCCATGGGGCATGGTTTGGGGAACTGGCCAGAGGGAAGACTCTCTGACTATAGAAGCCTGAGCTGGCACCCAGGCCGCAGCTCAGTTGTCGCTGGTTTCCCTGCCCGCCCGCCCTGCTCCTTATGTGGGGGGCTGCCCAAGGGCAAGCAGGCAGCTCCCACAGAGGACCTTGCCATGGAAACCTTTATTCGCCAGCTTTGGGGCCAGGGAAGAATTTGCCTTCAGACAAATTGGGCCTGTCTGGGGGTTTTGCCTGCCTCGTAGGCACTGTCACAAGTTGATGGGGACAAGGCTGGGTCCTTAGTCCAAATGGCCAAGGGGTGGGGTCTCGCTCCAAAGGATCAGGGGATCCCCTTAAAGGGATCCTGGGAGGTGCATCTGTCTGGACACCCCAGATGAGGGAGGGTGGATGGGTCATGCCACCCCCAAAAATTGTGATGTGGGGGGGGAGTTGCCCTGATTTGATGTACATCATAGGGCGATCCTTAACTTTGGGTAATCTTGCCAAATAATCAACCGGCAGACAGGTCAGTTGATTCAGGATACACCCCCCAATGCCTGCGCCAAAGCCTTTTAACGTCTTTAATCAATAAAATCGTGGCCTGTTTAAATCATGGTTGGTTGTCCTGCAGTTATTGCAACTTTATCTTGCCTTGGCCCCACCACCAGTGGTTTCACTCCACCTGGAAACGCAACTTATCACCACAATAGAAAAACATCAACTTGTGTTTCATCAGGGTGCACAAAGGCGAGGTAAGGAAAACAAGTTCAGCTCTACTTAAATATGAAAGCAGAATTTCTTCCCCCTGACATTGGTCTGCCCAAACATAAAACAAGACCAGGAATTTTGGAATACCACTACCACCTGCAGTTTAGAGCAGGAGACTGCAGAACATTCTTCTCCATATGAAATGCAGCAGGAATTTTGAACAATGATTAGGAAGTATAAAACCCACATAAAATGCATGCTTTTCAAATGAAGTTACTATTCTTACTGTGTAAAAATGTGCCTTGAATGTTTAGAACAAGACAAAAGACCGTATCAGATGTTTGTTGTAGGATTGCCAGGGCAGTTCATGCAACATTTACCTGTCAGTTAACTTATCAAGGAATCGGTTGGTGAATGCTTTAACTTGATCCACCAAGGCCCCAAAAGGCTTTTCTCTTAAGGCAACACTCTCAGAGGTATCCAAGACGAAAAACAGATCCACAGGACAATCTGTGCAAAATCAGAAAGAGGAAGTTTAAAAAGAACACTCTTTATAATACAAGATTCTCCAGAAAGTCTGCAATACTTCATGATGACGTACACCTGAGAGGGTTTTTTTCGGTGGGGGGACGGCATTGCAGTGTAGTACCTATGTGACATAGAGCCCATCCAGACAACCTTTTTATTGTGCATCCATGATCATTTGTGATCATGATGCTATGCAGGGGGTGGGGGTGTCATACAAGACCCTTCTTTCCATACTGTTTGTGCCTGCTATGGGATGGGGCAGTCACACGGCTTCCTTTCTAGTCAGTGCACATTTAGGGACTTCCTGCTGAAATCCCATCGCTTTGTGCCACAAATGTTCAGGTTGACTTTTGCCCTTCTTTCGGTGCCCCTCTCAACAGCAAGAATGTGGTGGTATTAGGCAGCATCACAGAACAAGATAAAGCAGCATAAATCCACTGCTAATGCACGATTATTGTGCCCAGAGCATGTGGCAGAAGACGCCCACAATAGAACAGCAGTCCTGAGGAGCCAGAGCTGTAGTCCTACCCCCAGGTGTCTCCATCTGCTTTCCTCCACCTCCACGGGGCTCTACTGTCAGAGGGGGGTCCTGCTGCAGCTGTGGAAAGCATGGCGACTTCTGCCCACAGTGTTTCCCCAAGCTGCAGCCTATTGTAGGGCCCCCGAACAGTGTGTTATGGGGGTGGGATGGAGCACGGACAGCCATGGATCTCCCAGATCCTGAAGAAGGGCCTGGTCTGGGCTCCCCTGTGGTGCCAGACTGGATCTGGGGCAGAAAAGGGGGGTGTAAATGCCCCCACGTTCCATCCTCGCAGCCAAGAGGCTGTATGTCTCCCTATCGCCTCTTAGGACTGCTGTGTAAGAGTGCTGTCCTCTGCTTGTTTACTTGGAAGTAAGCCACACTGAATGCAGTGGCCTTAGCCACTGGGACTGTAGCCTAAGCTGCAGATGAGGAGGTCCTCCCTCTGCTTGGATCAGCCTACTATACTTTTGAGTGAGAGCTCTTTGGGGACTACTAACGTGCTGATAAAGAAATATCGTTGAAACAGTTCATTATCCTGGAAGAACTGTTCTGTTTGCTGCACCACCTGGCTCCAGTTCATTCTCCACCAAACTGTGATATAGATATGAACTGTGGAAAGGCTTTCTGCCTCAACTTCAGTGTTTCTTTGTGGTCACACACCATTCTAAGCATGCCTGTTGATGGAATATTCATTTGACTTCTATTAGTCCGTGACTTCTTGCACGTATTATGTGGCTTTTGTTTATGAATTTGTTTATGAATTAAGAAACAACTGATAGTGTTTCATAAATATTGCCAATACATTATTAGCCCTCGTGTTGTCTTTTGTTGATCTGCTTGGAGCTTGGCTGGTGGCTGGAGGCACAAAGCTCTCGCATAGCCTCATACATCCCCACCCTTTGAATATGGAGTGAAAAGAAAGGAATGACCTTCCAAGGACCTTATCACAAGATAAGGGACATGAAACTCTTTAAATAGTGCTATGTAAATGCTCAGTATTATTATTAAACTAATTTAAATGAATCAATATATATAAATAAAACGAGGCATGTGGGGCACAGTGCAGAGGCCCTCACACCCAAACAGGAATTGGACTTTGTGCTTCTCGAACATCACCCTGCCACTCCCCACCCCCAACATGGCAACTCACTTCTGAAACTCCAATGAGCCCATAGCAGAGGGGCAGAGTTCCCTTCTCACCCCAATAAAATATTTGAGGGGGCTGCCCCCCAAGTTGTGTGTATTCAAATGGTGTGTATGTGTCACATCTTGTGATCAATTACGTGGGACTGAACTTACTTCCCCCCCAGTATTTTATTCAAGTTGACACCCCTGAATGAGCCTCGACAGCAGTCTCTGGCCTGGAAATCTGCGAGCTAAGAAAAAGAAAAGAAGGTCCCTCTGGGTGGCTTTAGTCATAAGGTTTAAAAAGGTAAAGGGACCCCTGACCATTAGGTCCAGTCGTGGCCGACTCTGGGGTTGCGGTGCTCACCTCGCTTTATTGGCCAAGGGAGCCGGCGTACAGTTTCCGGGTCATGTGGCCAGCATGACTAAGCCGCTTCTGGCAAACCAGAGCAGCACACGGAAACACCGCTTACCTTCCTGCTGGAGCAGTACCTATTTATCTACTTGCACTTTGATGTGCTTTCGAACTGCTAGGTTGGCAGGAGCAGGGACTGAGCAACGGGAGCTCACCCCGTCGTGGGGATTCGAACCGCCGACCTTCTGATCAGAAAGTCCTAGGCTCTGTGGTTTAACCCACAGCGCCACCCACGTCCCTTTCATAAAGTTTAGAACCTTCTACAAAATTATTACTTATGGTTTTGGAATATCATCTACAATATCCATATATTGCAGATGCCAGAAACTGTCACTAGCCTTGGGCAGCTGGATTATCTTTGTAGAGCTCTTCATGTGGAGAAAGGGGTCAGGATTGCATCTCGATCCCTTCCCTTTGCCATCCCTGACCTTCCTGCTCTCAGGATATCTGCACAGTGGGCCTGTGGGGGGTTGCCTGCCAATGGAGAGCATAAGTTGCACATCCAAAGCCAACTCCCTTATTAAGAGGATGCACACATAAGCCTCTGTGCCCACGTCACTCAGATACACGGATGTCAGAGACAGGACCAACAGGTGTGATTCTGCACACACATATACACACACACATAAACACAGCTGATATTTAGTTGAAAGACTCTGCTCAAGAGCATTGCTTTTAGAGGGAAACTGAAGAAAAATGAACACAGCCTGAGACAGTAAAATGAGCCACTACTTCCTATTCCTAATATAAAAAGAGGATTACACTAAGAATATCTGCTATGTAAAAAGTACATAGAAAGCACCCTTCTTTTCTTTTTTCTTCTGCAGCTTTTTTCTTCTTCTTTTGGCTATTTTTTTTTTTTTTGGTATTCATTTTCATTTCATTTTTAACATGAGTATTTATCTCCAAAGCTCAATGCTCACTACAGTAGAGACACTACTTAAAGCTCTTTCTTCATCAAAAAGTGGGGCTATAATCCTCAGATATCCCTTAACGAGTTCTTCAAAACAAAGAAGGAATACAAGTTTGTAATTTTTGAAAGAGTTAGCAAAATCTGGTGACTTCCATAATGGCTTATTAGTCACTGTATTATTGGGACATACAGGCTTGGCTTGTAGTGCAACTCAGCACAGAAAAGAATCTCTGACAAAAAACATATATATGATTGCTACCCCTTGCTTGCCAATGTGGGGCATATACTGCTGTCCTATTACTGATTTTCATATTTGTATAAGTCAGACAAACTTAAAAGTTAGCATAAAAGTTAACGCCCAAACTCTGATATGAAATAACACGGCAGACGCTTCATCAGATCATGGACTGGTACTCAGTTGTTTCATTTCAACGTAGTAAGAAGGCAGTAAACATAAGCGAGGAGAAAGCAACACACTGTGAAAATATGTTCTTACCTTGAAATGTTGCTGCACCATTGGAGACTGCGGTTGCTTGAGCAAGAACTGTTCTGAAAAGAAAGCAGCCCTGAAGTAGGAAGGCTGGGAAAAAGTAAGCGAACTTCATCTTGCAAGGATTGTAGTTATCATTTACTGAGACTTGAGGACAAATTTAAGGAAAAAAGAGAGGGAGCCCAGGACTGAGAGGGTGACAATTATCACCTAGTTTGCAATTATTATTAAGTTTCTGCTCTGTCCCTGAGTTTCCAGAGAGTGGAAGGAGAAAGGAAGGGAATTAAGAAGAGGAGGCGGCTTGGATTTGCAGGAGCTGGAGCTCTCCTTCCAGGAGGGAGGGAACATAACAGTAGTGTCAGATTCGGCTGAACTGCAGCAGTAGCTAGTGAGTCATGAAACACACCAGCCCATTTTGAAGTCTCCCTTCTCTGAGTTCAGTTTTGCCACTGCCTTCTTCAAACATGGATGTGCTCCTCGTACTAAAACGTAATTTAGCTCCATTACAAAATTATTGCTGCCTGTCCTCATATGCTTGCAACTGATTAATGGCTCACAATGCAGCAACACACGTTAATTCATGTTTTTGTATAACGGCTGACTCTAGTGTCCAATGAAATATTCAGGATATAAATGATGTTTAGAAGGCTAACAAGTAAAGATGAAAAATGAGCAGAGTTGTATCAAATGGGTATCTAATATAATAGAGTTGAAGCCTCTTAAGATATAATAGAGTTGAAGCCTACAAAGTTGGTCTCTTTGTAATTTTGCTCTAGATACATTTGGTAAACTGCATTTATGTTCTAAAATCTATCGTAATTAGGACCAACAGAATTATCAAAAAATCTGTCCAGCTTCTGAGTTCTCCAGAACTCTGCATCAGGTGTGACATAAAGCAGGTGTTGGTGATGCTTTGTGGAACATCTTGCCTCATGAAGGTCCCCACCGTCTCTGCTGCATTCCTCCCCGTTGCTCTTTCCTTCATTGCATTAAGCCTGAATAATTGGAAGGCTTTCCCAAGCATGCATTGCAGCCTTGTTTTCCCTCTCTTCCCCAAAATGTCCCCTGACTCATTTTTAGTCTTCCTCTCAACTGTTATGCTATTGCAATTAGAATGAAAGTATTTATAACAAATTATGTAAATCAAGGCCTTTGTCTAACTTTGTATTTGCAACTAATAAAGTAATATCTGCATGGTTAGTACAACTGAATATGCTCATCGCAAATGGTGGAAAAAATGCCCCCCTTTTGGTTTTAAAATGTGGTAGTTTTCCTATAAACGAACTTCATATTCATGCTTCTTGTCCAGTTCTTTTAACAGCCGTTCCCAGCAAAGCCCTTCTGCTTTGCCTCATTGCACCACTTATTTGCTTGTCCCAACTCCAACCTTCTAGCACCAGTATGGGGTTTTGCCAAGAGAGACCTTTCAGCCGAATCTACTGAAGGGTAAATGTTAAGTTGTGGGTGAACATATCAGACGACACAGCGATTCTTCAAACAGCTCCTGTTTATTCACAGGCCAGAACTGAACTGAAGGGTTCAGCCAGCCTGCTTATATAGAGCTCCAGTACCACGCAACTGTAACAACTTTCTGTAACTATCCAATCACTGAACATCACTTTCAATCCCTTATTTGCATATGTGGACCTGAGTGAAAACTATCTACAGTATCCCCCTGCTGGCCCGGGGTGAGAACTTCAGTACATAACAGTAAAAGCTGAGAAGATAAAAGTTTATTAACCCAGGAGCACAACAAGAAAGACTTCTAAATGGTCAACTCTTGGGGATTTCAGTTTTCACTGATAAATGGTTGACAGTAATGATCCCCACTTAGAAATGAAAAGGAATGAGTTAATCAAAGTAAATGGGGCAGGAGTCTGAACTGTTAGTGTTGACCCACTCAGATCGGTACCCAGGCAGTGATGGAGATGCAGTAAGATCTTAGGCCTCTGCACGGTTTACCACATGAAGTAGGTGAGCACAGTGAGCGGACATGTGCATTTACTGTAAACAAATTTAAATCTAAGGACTTAAATTTAAAGGACTTGTTTAGAGTCCCCGTCCCCCCCTGTTTCCAATGTGGAGTGATGGCCTGGGACTCAACATTACCTGGGGAGCCTCCGCTTGTAGACATCATAATAAAGGCAGCAACAGTGTGAGGAGCCACACAACTTTGGAGTGGGGCAGGGCTGAATGTGTGGCCCTGCTGCCCCCACCACTGGGCTGACTCTCTTCATTCATTCAAGTTACAGATAGGTAGCCGTGTTGGTCTGCCATAGTCAAAACAAAAAAATTCCTTCCAGTAGCACCTTAAAGACCAACTAAGTTAGTTCTTGGTATGAGCTTTCGTGTGCATGCACACTTCTTCAGATACCAAACTCATGAAGAGGACTTGCATCAGCATGTGTGTTATTTCAAATATCCTGCTCTGCAACTGGATGCACCTGCCTTGTGCTGAGGGGAGAGACAATAGGTCCCAGCATAGCCACTGCAGGATTGGTTCCAGTTTGGCGGTTCCTTTTTCTATATACAGGCAGCCCCCCTTTATGTGCATTCAAAATGTGCATGACTGTGTATACATGCATCACACCCAACCTGGAAACATCATAAAGATGTCACTGAAACGTCACTAAAAGGGCAGAATGGGGGTGGGGCAGGGCTTTTTGCAGCTTTTTTCAAGGGGTTTCAATTATACACAATTTCACTAACATGCCTGGTGCCTGGGAATGTAACTCCCACGTAAATGGGGGGTTGCCTGTATTTCAACCAGGGCTGAGGCAAATAGCAAGATAGCAACTCCCTTTCCATAGATAAAAACTGATCAGACCGGCAGTTGGGTTTTATTTCTGCTCTGGTGACACCTGTATTTCACCTCCACTCCCTCCTGCCTGAAGTGGCCTCCTCATTCTGCCTAATGGTAGGGCTGGCATTGATTTCCGCTCTAGTTCAGGAATGGGAAGAGGGAATCTGCATTAACAGGATCCTTGCCCCACCCCCCAAAATTCCAGCTGGTTTCTTAAATATGAACTAGAACTTTAGATTTTCATTACAACACACCAACAGACCATCCCAGAAAGGGTATTGTGTTTTCCCTCTTTTCTTAGTGAAGCTTTAGCAAAAAGTTTCTTGCGCAAAACAGTTGCGTCTTTATTACTGGGAAAAAAAGAAGTAGTGGAGTTAAGGAAACTTTGGTCATTTTAAAACGTCTTCATGGCTGCTTTGAACAGTACAAACTGGAAAGGAGTCAACTGTCTGCTAAAGCCTAATGATAATGGTATGGCTTTTGCCGTTCATCTTTGACTATATATGGGAGTTGTTCCACATCTGGAAGGAATCAAGGACACATGCTTTCCTGGCAGCCTTGCAGCTGGGCCAGATCCCAGCTGCTCGGAAAGGAAGACTTTTCTGGAGGAAAGAGCAACAGCACCCCCTTGGCTGCCGAGCGTGGATCTGCAGCTGGTTTCGTAAGAGCAGGCAAGCTCTCAAGGGGTCCCTTGTTTCTCCAAAAAATTTCTGTGCATCAGAAAAACGGAATCACCGAAAGCAGCTACCTTTTAAGGGCTGGAACTGTGCATCTTTTCCACAGAAGCATTGTTTCCTGAGAAAAGCACTTCCCCCATCCAGAACTTAAAACCAACATTAACAGCATTAAAGAAATATGTTCTGTAAAGCAAGGGTGTTCATGTAGTGGCATTTTCACTTATGCACCCGATGGTAATAATTAAAGAAACATAGTTTCATGTTGCAAAATACATGAGATTGATGAAACAGAACTGACTTCTGGGGGGCTGGGGCTGCATGTGAAAAGGGAGTAACAAGTCAAGAGGAAAGGAAACTTAAATGATGGTGTAGCCCACCCTTGTGGGGAGGAAAGAATTGCACGCTGGAATGAAAGACCAGAAGTCAAATGGAAAGATACATTCCATACTCAAGCGCCACCGTTGAGGAAAGAGGCAGGAAACAGCCCACCCTCCCAGGCATGACTAAGCCCTGTGAGCTTCACAAGGGGGTGGCAGGATGGATTTCAGGGCTGCAGCCAGGGCAGAGTGGTGATGTGCAGCCCAAGGACCCAAAGAGAAGAAGTGGGTGAGGCAGATGCAGCTTACTGTCCTGCCCCCCCAAACCCCCCACACATGAGCAGAAGCTCTTAACTTTTAAGTAAGAAGGACAGGCTCAGCAGCAGACACAAGGCTCAGGAGTTCAAGAGCAGAACAAGAAGTTCAGAGCTGGGTGAGAGCAATGGAGATGCCCCAATAAGACTCCGCTTCCTGCCCACCAAGTTTTCAAAGATGAGGCATGGTGCACTCACTCACTCGACTCACACGCCTTACAGGGATGTCGGAATTGCAAATGTGTGCTCCTTCAGAGGGGTCCTCTTCTCATTTGCAAAGGTAGCACCCCTAAGTGTGAGCAGACTGCACCCTCCTATCTGGCGCCTGTTCAGCCATTGCCACATCTGGTTCTGGCTCCCTTCTTGTCTGTTTCATGCAGGTGGGGCAGTAGGGGGCCATGACAAATGGCTTCCTGCTCCCTCTTCCCAAGCTATGGAAGTTGGAGTGGAAGGGGAAGAGCCCTCCTTCTCAGGCTCTCACCATCCAGCTCCCCACCCCAACATTTCTTCCTCCTCCTGGGTCAGAGCCTGCCAACTGGAGCCTGATTCTGATAGCACATGATGCTGACACCACTGAATTCCCTAGGTTTGTCTCGTGATCCGCTGCTGGGATTCTGGGAAAATTAAGACGGTGGCTGCAGCATTTCTTTTTTTAAAGAGACGTTTTTAAGGAGGCTGGCACCAACAGAGATGAACCCTCTGCTTATTGGGTAGTAAGTTTCAGTTAACTCAATGCATCTTTTTGTTGTTCTTTAGTCGTTTAGTCGTGTCCGACTCTTCATGACCCCATGGACCAGAGCACGCCAGGCACTTCTGTCTTCCACTGCCTCCTGCAGTTTGGTCAAACTCATGCTGGTAGCTTTGAGAACACTGTCCAACCATCTCGTCCTCTGTCCTCCCCTTCTCCTTGTGCCCTCCATCTTTCCCAGCATCAGGGTCTTTTCCAGGGAGTCTTCTCTTCTCATGAGGTGGCCAAAGTATTGGAGCCTCAGCTTCAGGATCTGTCCTTCCAGTGAGCACTCAGGGCTGATTTCCTTAAGAATGGATAGATTTGATCTTCTTGCAGTCCATGGGACTCTCAAGAGTCTCCTCCAGCACCATAATTCAAAAGCATCAATTCTTCAGCGATCAGCCTTCTTTATGGTCCAGCTCTCACATCTTACATCTGATGTGCCTAGAAAGGACTGCAGTGTTAATCTCTCTCTCTCTCTCTCTCTCTCTCTCTCTCTCTCTCTCTCACACACACACA